AAAAAAAATTTTATTTTTGTTCGAGTGGTTTATTTGAATTTGAATTTAAATTATATTTTAATATAATATTTATAAAATAAAATAATATTTCTTCATAAAAAATCGTGAAATCTAAATGAAAGAATTTTTTATTTGAAATAAAACCAAACAAAAGCATTCTACTGTTTCTTTAGCAAAAAAATTTCAAATTTTATTATTTAGACGGTGTATTTTCGAAAAAAAAAATATTTTTTTTTTCTATCATAAAACACCACTTCAAACATTATTTTCATAATCCAAACCAAATTTTTTATAAACTTATCAAAAGACACACCTACTAATTGATTATTTGGTCCATTGCATCTTCTGAATCAGGCCATTAATTAAATTAGGTAGATTATATAACACAGTCTTGTATTTTAATAAAAATGTATATAACACTTCGTATTTAATTTATTTTGTGAAATCGCATATGTTATATTAAATTTTATACAAAATATCATTTTCGTCATAAACTGATATTTTGGTGTAAAAACGAATATAATTATGTAAAGTTTTATATAAATAAAATAGGTAAATATAATATGTATTTTTTAATTTTTTGGATAAAATAAAAAATAAATAACTGATTAATATTTTATTTTATAATCTTTTTGAAAAAAAACTGTTATATAATTTTTACAGAAACTAAAAATACGAAGAATTGATAAATTATTTATTTATTTATTTTAAAAAAATTATTTAAAATCATTTGCTTTTCTTTTATTTGTATAAAATTTATATAATTTAAATTAATATTTACAACTAAATATCAATTTTGGACTAATAGAATATTTATGCAAACTTTAATATAAGACAAGAGATTCCACGTAATAAATAAAATATAAAATATTTTACGCATTTTTACTCCGAGGGGATATTGTATAATTTACTCTTCTAAATATACAAATTTTAATTGGACTAAAATCATATGACAATTAAATTGACAACAGTTCATTCACTTAAGGCTTTTATGTTATTTTGGAGGTTTTTTTTGTTTTTTCTTTTTAAGTCAAATTAAATATGGAAGTTGACTGGTTGATTTCTTTTTTGGAGGATCATACACGATTGATTTTAGCACAAAATGCATATTAATATAATATAAATTGATAATTCGAAATAATAGTCGATACAACATATATCATGTTTGATTTCAATATTAATATACCACAAATACATGTATATATTTATACTACTATATTATAATAATTCACACGCCACATGCTTAATTTCAAATACACATTAAGTAGATAGATAAAATTAATTAAGGTCTTGATTAAAACTAATTAAGATCATAACTTGCTATAAAATATTTGTTTTTATAAGAGTAAATACTCCTTAACTATGATTTCTATCTAAATTTAATAATTAGATCATAAAAAAGTGTTCACTTAGTATACTCTATCGGTCCATAAAGAAGTATATATTTGTTTTTTGCACGTAGTTTTAAAAATATTAGTATTATGTTGGAATATAGTAGGAATAAAGTAGAAATGACTAAAATAATCTTATTAGTATGCGTGATATAAAGGTAATGACATTTGTGTAATATATTGTAAGTTGTAAGGGTATTTGTAATGTTAGATAGATAGTACAGTTACTAAAAAAAATAAATACTTTGTTATGTGACGGACTAAAATGAAAAAATAGATACTTTGTTATGGGACGGACGTAGTAGAATTTTTATTCGATTTCTTGATGAATATAAATATATATATATATAATATACAAACGCTACATGTATCATACTTCTAAAAGTCAAAGTCAAATATTAAAAAAAAATAAAAATGAACGGTGTTCTTTTGTGGATTTTTTACAATATATTTATTATTTATTTTATTTTATTTTTAAATAACAAATTAAATAATTATTTTTTATTTTTATATTATATTAAAAATTAGTTTAATATTTAAAATATCACAATAATATTTATTTATATTACTTTAAATAATTATTTAAATTTAAATTTTTATTATTAAAAAGCAAAAACCAAAAAATCAAATCGACAACCTTACACACATAATTTATTCAATATTTTATGAGAATTTACATATTATTTATAGACACTATATGAAAGGGGTTGTTCACTACCTGAGATAAGATTATAATATATAGTATTATTTTAATAAATTATATAAGCACATGATAAAATAGTACAATATTAATTTTAATAGATTATTGTATAAGATTATAATTTTTTTAAAAATTTTTAATTATATGATAAAATTAATATTAAGTTAACTATTAATAAAAACTAAAATAGTCTTTTTAATATTAAAACTAACTTATATTTTTTAACCATACTTAAAAAGGGAAATTAATAATTTCTAATTATACTACTATTATGTCGAATTTTACTTAATTACATACTGTAATAATAAATAGTAAACTGTGATTACAGTGAATAAATATATATTAATATAGGGTAAACTGTTCCCATAATTGGATCCGCTTATCATTTTAGTCCCGTAAGTGGAACTTGTCGCAAATTAGTCTCATAACTGGAAACTTTTCGTTGTTTTAGTCATCCGGCGCCGAAGACGCTCGCGTGGCTTGCCGGAAGCTACGTGTCCCGCCAGGTCAGCAACACTTGGCGGACAAGTGAATTTTTTTTTCATTTTTAAATTTTTTTAATTGGACCAAATAAAAAATACAAATAAAATTTAAAATAAATTAAAATTAAGTTTTAAAAAAAATTTTAAAAAAAAAATCCAACGACTCCTGACGGACACGTGGCCTCTGGCGAGCCACGCGGGCGTATCTGGCGCCGGAGGACTAAAACAGCGAAAATTTTTCACTTATGAAACTAGTTTGCGACATGCTCCACTTACGAGACTAAAATGATGAGGAGGTTGAGTTACGAGATTTAAAAAAAAATAGTTTATCTATTAAACTAATATATAAATTACCACATACCAATAGCCCATATATATATATATAATATATTACTATAATCTCAGCCAACATTAATATCACTCAAAAGTAAATATTTTTATACTTCCTCCGTCCAGCTAGAATGTATACATGTTTCTATTTTGGGACGTCCAATTACAAAATAACTATTTCATTAAATACCCTATTTTTTTCACAAATACCCCTATTTTACATCGTATCATTACTTTTATCTACCCACTATAATTAAAATACTATTATTCCTTTATCTCCGCGCCAAAAGTAAATGTATACTTATTTAGTGGACGGAGGGAGTATTTTATAAGGCATGACATAATAGTGTAGAATGAAAAATAAAAAATAATAATAATAAATAAAAAATAATTATAAAAAATAAAAATAAAAATAAACTAATCAAGATTAAAAATTTGGCAGTTGGATTGGTGGATAATTGGCTACCAAATGATTACCCACTTTTGGCATTGTCTAACTAATTATTTCATATTAATTGTATATAAAAATATATTAATGCAATAAATTGTAAATTCTTTGTTTATTTTTTTAAAAAAATATATATTATTTTATTTTTATAAATTATCACACCTTATATTCATTTAGCAACAATAGATTGAAAATTTATAATATTTTATTCAATAAAAACTGAAAATTGTGGGATGTGTTTAGTTGATGTATATATTTTTTCAATTTTTATTTAAATACTAATCTATATGTAAACACGTGATGTTATGAGATGTGATTAATCATATATATTTATATATAAAAGTGTGAGAATTTAATTTGAAATTTAAAATTTTACATTTATATTGCGTTATATAATTATTTTAATTCAAAATTTTTACTATTAAAATCTAATTCAAAATCCAAACCTCAAACAAACATCCTTAATGTTTTTTAAAATTTAAATGTATTTTAAAGCATAATAGTACCATTTTTTTTTTAACTTAGATGATAATCATAGCCTTCAATCTCAACAAGTACATGTAACACTGACATATTTGAACGGTCAACGATAATAAGATTAGAGTTGACAAAAACTGACCCGACACGATCCGATACAAAATAATTGAGCTTGGGTCAAAAATTTCAATACGATTATATATACGGGTTGGCACGAACCCGACACGATAATAAACGGGTTGGATTAGGGTTGAGGCTATAAACTCAAATCCGATACGACAATCCGATTATAATATATTAATATTGATTAATATATTTATTATATATATATAAAATAATCATAATTTAATAATTTTTTCATAAATTAATTTAAAATAAGTTTAATTTTAAATAATTCAACTTAATTTATACTCAAACCAAAAAAACTAACATAACACGACAACAAAATAAAAAATTATTTAATTTGAATAAAGAAATTAGACTTAATTACGTATACGGGTCAACACGAGTCAACCCGAACCCGACACGATAATAAACGAGTTAACACTAATTCGACACGATAATAGACGGGTCGGGTTATGGTTGAGTAATTTAAATCGTTTAAAGTATTCAACCCGACACGAATCGGCCATTGCCGGCTCTAGATAAGATACATGATTTTTTATTTTTTTTAAATGTATTTACTTTGTAAAGTAATTTGAATTGGTATTTTTTCATGTAAATTATAAAAAATTGTATAAAAAATATAAAAATAATAAATATATGTGATATATTAATATTTTTGAAAAAAATTATATTTATTTTTTTATTAAAAGAACATACCCTCAATTTTTTTTAAAAAAAAAATATATATAGATATATATATATATAAACACAATAATAATAATTATTATTAAATAGTTCTGTATTTCGTTATAATCAAGTCAATTTAATATTGCTAAATCTTAGGCAGATACATTTGGAGCATCACAATCGCACTAGATAATTAAATAAAGAATAATTGCAATTATTAATTAGTAAATTATTATTAACCATCCAACGGGTTATGAGATTATATATTGTTCCAATTATACCCTCAAAAATTTTCCTTTACCCAAGAGTCTACACTAAGCCCATTTTCGTCATTTCATGTCACAAGTTGAAATTCTTTACTTGGTTTTTTTCGCAGACAGGATTTGGAATCGACGCCTGATTTTGCAACGGATTCAACGCTCTCCCTCGTGGGCTTTTCGCTGCCCTCGCTTTCTGCCTTCTTTCTTTGACATTTTCTCGAATTCTTCGTTCCTGAAGAAAAACCCGTCTGTATGTGTTGGGATTATTGTATTATCATGCACGCAAGGGCACGCAGTCAACGAGCAACTGGGGGTTGAGTTTTGGCGTATTGGGGCGAGTGATTTCTTGTTTGAACTCTCTGGGAATCGTGGGAATTTGAGGAATTGAAGGAATTTTTTTTTTTAGTGGAATAATGGTGGCGGTGGACACTGCGATGGAAATTCTACTGCCTTCTTGGTGGGAGGTCCAGGTCTCGCTGGCGGCGGCGGTTTTTTTGCTGGTGGCGTACCGGCTCTTCGCCGGCGGGGGAGACGGCCGCGGCTGCTGCGATGATCGGACGGTTGTCGATGGCGCGGGAAGCGGTGGGGGCGTGGTTAGTGATCAGGATAAGGTCATTTCCTCAATTTTTAGCGCCGCATTGAATTGGGATTTTGGTTTTTAGTTTTTGGTTCTGTAATTTCGTCCGTGTGAATTTTGATTCTTTTCCTTTTCTGAGTAAATTCTGTGTAATCACTATGACGTTCGAAGTTTCTGTTTGTTAATTGCTCACTTAGTTGTTTTCTTTCTCATGTTTGTGCCGTGTGGCTTTGTGATTGCGAATTGATTGTCTTGTGGATCTTTCATTTGCTTTGTTTTGGCTGTTGAATTTGTCAATTTGATTGGTGATGTGATGGAAGGTCGTTTTTGTATGATTTGATTGAAATTTGAAAGCTGTACTTCGATGGTGGTTCTTTTGTGCACGTGCCTATAGTGTAATGGTTAGTGTTGTCTTAGGGGTTTTCGAATTTGAGCTAACAAACACTATGCTTGTTAAAGGGTTGTAAAGGTTAATGCATTAATTAAACTACTAGCTTCAATGGAAATATATTGCTTCTTCTGTATTTTTCGTAATTCTGCTAATTTTTGGGAATCTATTTAGTTTCATAAAGTTGTTGCATTGTGCAATACACTTGTACAACTTTATTATGGTATTTGTATTGATAGCAATTGTACTTACTTTCAATATTGTATAAGATCTTTTAATCTTTATTGATTTTAATTGATAGGTTGCACTTCAAGAAGTAAAATACTTAAATTGTTCAAGGCACTTTTCCTTTGATAAATTCTACAATTATGCAGTTGATTATGTTAAAAAAAAAAAATTCTTTAAAAGAAATATGAAAACATAATTATTATATATATATATATATATATAAATCTCTTACACTTTGCTATTTTCTTGTACCTGAGTAGTGAGAGGATTATTTTTGGAGATGCTTTGCCTTTTTGAGAAATAAGACCAACCCAACGGTGCTAAGCCTGCAAGAAACACTATGCACAACGTTTGGTGTGCTATGTTTGGTGTTTGTATGGTTTGTGGCTTTTTGAATAATAGTTGTTTGATATGATGTTTGTGAGAAAAAATAGTATAGCTTATTGGAAATGTTGTGGATTTAGAACAGTGAAAACATCAAGCAAACACATAAAGAGTATTTTGCTGCATACAGAGGCATGTTTGTCATTGTTAGGAGCATTATCTCTTGTTACAAAGGTTTTTTTTTTTTTTTTTTTTTTTTCAATTATGTCTTGTTTTCCAAACAGCACCAAATTTATCTAGTAACCTTGGTTGCTAGTGCCTACATGGATATGTTTACCATCTGAGCCATATTTATGGTGGCTTTCAAGAAATGTGCTAATGCTACTTATTGGATCAATTTGTTATGTTTCAGAAAAATTTATATGCAAACAGTTATTGGCATTCTATAGGTTTTGATAATCTTGGATTTTAATGTTGATTCTACTTGCAGTAATACTAGTTACACTATTTGATTGTTCTTATTTTTGTATAAACATTCGACATTCTGAAATCACTGCCTATTTTTCCTAGTTTGTTTCTTGAAGTAATTTTTCACTTGGTTGACATGCAGTTCTGCACTTCTTTTGTAGATCGGCCTATTTAAAGGGGATTCCCAAGCAAATTTCACATACTTAGTTAAGGTAACTCATATTATTACTGTAAAAGACACGTTGTCTTTTGTTAAATACCTGTTGGATTTTCCATATTTTGAGTGCATATTTTAACAACTTGTTCATGGAATTCTGTATTACTAAATATTCATTCCACTTTTCAGGTGGAGCTGTTAGCAGCAAAGAATCTTATTGGAGCAAATTTGAATGGTACATCAGATCCTTATGCAATTATTACTTGTGGTCCAGAAAAGCGGTTCAGGTGATTTTATCTTCTTGCATGGAACTTCTAATTTCCTAAATCACCAAGAATATTTTTACGTGAGTGTTAATAGGCCATTTTCAGTCTCTTGTCTATAATGGGGTCATTTAAACCAAATCATTGTGAGTCTCAGTGATGTAATCTGTTGTGATTATTTGGTGAGCCTTTTATTTTTGGCTATTTTTCTCTTTGATTGGGTGGCGAATCTTGAAATCTATTTGCATTTGACGGGTTTAAGAGGAGTGGTGATTGAAATTTCCTAGGAATATTATCTTATTCAGAGGACATAAGGCGTATTTGAGAGTTTTGTTACTTGGGGGTCTCCACATAAAAGTAGTAGCCTCACCATTGTCTCAGAACATTTTCAGGGTCTTATGAAGCAAAGAACTTGGATTTTTGAACTCACAGTTTCTCTGTATTGAATCACATAACATTGTGAAATGAGTGATTTTTAGTTAATGGATTTCGTATGTGATGTATCTCTCCTAAGTTGAAAGTAGGAGCAATGCCTAGATTTATAATGACATATTCAACTCTATCAAACCAGGACTTGATAATTTCATATTTGAATAGTTTCACTTTCAAAGGTTAATATGCTTGACAGTATTGACAATTATATCTCATATGAATGCATATTTCAATGAAAATTATTAAGTTCCAAGGAAATACATGTAGTGTTGTGGGGAAGGGACAGGAAGGTGTGGTTCTCATTATGTAAGTGATTTGAAGATTATGAGATGTTCAGTGACTGTTGGAACTAATGAAGAAGATACTGTGAGAATTGTGCTTAGAAGTCTGATAATTTGTTCATACATGAAAACCAAATAAATGTAAATAAAGTACATTAACCCAGATGTTACACTAAAGTCATATTTATGCCGTAGGTAGGAGTTGCTGTCATGCTCTCCTACCATACAAACACACACATACTTAATTTTGATCAAAGTCAATAGGTCAGAGTTGCTGCTTTTCAGTTGCTCAATGTACTATTTGCTATCATGCTTATGCTAATACCCTACTCCCACATCTTAGTTTCTTTCTGACCTCATGTTTTTAGTTTTGAGCCATAGCTTTAGCTATATATTAAAGAGTGCTATAGACTTGTTTTTGTCGCTCATTCTCTTCGTGATGTTATATTGGGGTATTGGTGTGCTACCATCTATAGATGATTTTGAAACTTCCTCTTTTCTTTTTCTTTTTTATATAGAAAGAGTAGCCTGCTTCATTTTCTTCAGTTTAAGAAAAGGCAGCTAACTTCTTGTAAGTGATGAGGGGCTGCCTTTAGATTGCAAGTCTTTCTTATTTTTTGCTCACCTCCACCTGTGTTACTTGTTTCCTAATTGACTTTCTTACTTCTCTGCTTCCACAATTATAAATTGAATATTTCATGCTACCAGCCACTAACGGATATAGGGAGCAGGTTGCAGTATAAAAATGAAATTAAATTATTTTTTGGTGAAGGTTGAATTGCGGGATCTTCTGGATGATAATTTCAGTTTAGTGTGCCTCTGTGTGAAATGTTAATCGGATATAGGGAGCAGGTTGCAGTATAAAAATGAAATTGTTTTTTGGTGAAAGTTGAATTGTGGGATCTTCTGGGTGATAATTTCAGTTTAATGTGCCTCTGTGTGCAATGTTAATCTCCATGATCCTTATAAATGTACAAAAGTCTCCAGAATTTGACTCTCATATTATATATATATATATTTATATATATTACTTTCTGTTTGCCTTAAATCTTTTCAGAGTTTATATGTGTTTTAAGGCCGGCATTCTTTGTCTGCAGTTCCATGATTCCGGGCTCAAGAAATCCCATATGGGGAGAGGAGTTCAACTTTACTGTAGATCAGTTTCCAGTGGAGGTTAGTTGTTTTACACAATATTATTTTGGCCTAAAAATGGATTATATTCTTAGTGAAGAACCATGTTAGCTTCACGGCTAATTACACTAAACAGAATTCAAATTTGAACTAATATCTCCTCTCTCTCTCTTGGTTTGAGATGACATACAGTTTTATATCAGCAGTTTACATTTTTATAACTTATTTTCAGAGCTAATGTCATTATCTAATTGTATGGGCAGATTAATGTGACAATTTATGACTGGGATATAATTTGGAAAAGTGCAGTTCTTGGTTCAGTATCAATTCCTGTTGAACAGGAAGATCAAACTGGTGCTTTGTGGTACACTTTGGATAGTACATCAGGGCAGGTAATAAACTGTTACTGTTTGATACTCGAATTGACAACACGCACTTTTGCAAGTAATTTTGGTTAAATTCTTGATGAAATTGACCAGCTCTTGCTGCCTTGTTTTTCAGGTTTGCCTTCATATAAAAACTGAAAAAATCCCGAAGAATTCTACCAGGTAGCTTTTAAGCTAACAACTTATACATCTTGTTTCTCATCATGGTGCTTTGCCTCAACATGTTCATTATGTTGACATTATGACACATTTATTTGGTTTGATCTTAGGATTCTGTTTCTTATTGTTGATTGTTACTACTGCTTATTACATTTTATTGTTTACTAGGATTGATTCCTCTTAGTTTAGGGTTTTTGCTTCATACATATGTTAGATAGTCCAGTAGACGATGTCATAATATTATACTTTTTGATGGCAAAGTTTATTCGAATCTGATGAATATTGCTTCCTGGTTCTCTTCTGATGAATCAATCGATAGTTTTCCTTTTCATCTTATTTTATACTTGACATAATATTAGATCGTGCTTAACTTTTAGCCTCCTGGATTTCTTTGTCATTTTGTTATTGAAGCTATGGCAATCTTCAGTTTAAATAAATTATTGTAGCATAATCTATCTACCTTGATTTAATTCAATGTCTAAGAAGAAAATTGATACTTTTTTTTTTAATATTTTATTTTAAAGTATATAAGATAATGAAGAATGCAATTTTCTTTTCTTCATAATGTTGTTCTAGCTGATAAATATGTTTTCTTCTTTCCATTCTAGTGAATTAGTTATATCATAAAATCTTGTTATTCATGCCCGTAAAGAAACTAGAACTTGTTAATCTACTTCCTGGTAGGGGTTTGAATGGTTATGCTGGTGCTAACAATCGAAGGAGGACATTGGATAGACAAGGACCTACTGTTGTTCATCAAAAAGCTGGGCCACTCCAAAATATTTTTAATCTTCTGCCAGATGAGGCATGCTCTTATACCATACATGACTAAATCCTAAACCTTTTATATTCCAAAATGCTTCCCTCTTATGTTTGGCTGATTAAATTTCAGTTACTTCCTTCGAGCTCAGGTAATTTTAGGTGCTGATTTTAGTGGTTTTGTGCTTCAGGTTGTTGAACATAGTTATTCCTGTGCACTTGAAAGATCATTCTTATATCATGGTCGGATGTATGTTTCAGCATGGCACATATGCTTCCACTCTAATGTTTTCTCAAAGCAAATGAAGGTTAGTTATTAATGTTTGGGGCATAATATCTTTTGGGTTTCGATTTCCGATTTTTTTTTTTTTTTTGGCAATTTTATTGGCAGGTGATTATACCTTTGGGAGACATAGATGAGGTACACTGTCTCTCTTCTTTCCTTTCATACTCTCCATATATTTTCTAGAAACTTTGTTTGGTTTATTGATCATATGCATGATTGAATTTAATTTACTTACCTCTTTGATTCTCCTTCTCAGATAAGGAGGAGTCAACATGCATTCATTAATCCAGCTATTACAATAATTCTTCGGATGGGTGCTGGTGGGCATGGTGTGCCTCCGCTAGGCAATCCTGACGGTTAGTACTGTTCCTTCACTCTGGTCATCCAACACTCTATATGAGCATTTATGTGTTTCTATTTGACATAGATTAATGAATGCATAATTTGAACCTTCTGAACGATCCTAATCTTCTAGCATGACATGTCTATATAAACTCTTATTTGTAGAATATTTTTGACTTAACCTTGTAAATAAAATATAACCTGATACATAAAAATTTAGCCATCATTATACTTCTTAATTGCCAAGTACTATGAAAAACTATGTATTTTTTTTTTTACTTGGATTACATATAGTATTTCTGATAGGCACATTAATATCATACTATGGCCATCTCCCCTTGCTTCTGCATCCAACTCAAAGATTTGGTGAAGAAATGCTGTCTAATTTGATGATTTTGATTTCTTAGTTTCAGGTGAAAGATATTGTCTTCTTATACTAATTAATAATTGGGAACAGTTATGTTTGGCATTCAATGACTGTTAATTGCAGTTTTTTTAACTGACAAGTTAACCAACATGTTTGGACAGCATGAATAAGGTGTGATTGTGTTTCTAACTGATTTATTTTCCGTATGAGTTTTCCTATATGATACGTGACCTAATTCATGTTTATAATCCACAAACTAATAGAAGTTATGTATTGGAGGATCCATCGTAGTTTTGAGTGAATTATTGCTGTAATTTCATCATTCAATGACAAGTGAATGATAGAGCAACTTCTTTCCTTGCAATAGTTCATAGAAATTTTTTAACATGACATATATATCTTCGTCTTGAGATTTGCTTTTAGTGTCAGTATGGGAGCTGATATCCAAGTTGTGTATATCCGCTTATGTCTTCCAGGTAGAGTCAGATATAAATTTGCATCTTTCTGGAACAGAAATCATGCACTAAGAGGTTTACAGCGTGCGGTAAAGAACTATCATGATATGCTAGAGGCTGAGAAGAAGGTACGGTCCTTGTTAAATTTTCATGTCCTATCAATGATGTGCTGCAATGTTTATTTTCCCATCTTAACGATGTGTGTTGCATTTTACTATGTATAGATAAAGGTTCCTAAGATCATTAACTGAAATATTTTCAAAATTTGATGCTTTGTGATTTGATTGGTTGGTTTCTAAATCATCTATTATGCTGAAGTTGATGAATTGCTATCATTGGTAGAAATTGTTGTGTTGGTTTTATCCTTTGTTCAACTCATATTCTACTACATTTACAATTTTGGACCATCTAAGATAATGTAAGAAAGAATGGTCGGATGAGAGTATAATACACAAGCTTTCTTTTTTTCTTTTTTTTTATCGGAATAGTCAAGCTTTCTTGATTAGTTGATTGAATTAGAATTCTTACGGAAAACACCTTAATTAGTTCTCTGATTCTGCTACATTACTTATGACACAAAACACGTACCACTACAATAACATAACTTTTTACAATAATTTTAGCCATTCAGGGGCATGTTCAATACATGCAGTTAAACCAGATCGATCATGTTTAGTTATATGGACAAAAGCTGAGTAGGATGTTAGGCCTCTACTGCAGTTATGTGAATAATTTGGTGCTTGTTGCTTTTGAAAACTGAATATTTTTTTTATTATATAGTTTCTAATAGTGTATTTGTTAGCTCTTCTTAGATTTGCCATTTCTGTATAAAAGTATATTGAACCTTTATAAATCTATTCATCTAATATACGAGCAGGAGAAGGAGCAATCTGAGTTGCGTGCACACAGCAGCTCTATCAGAGGTAGCAAAACGAAATCTAAGGTTTCGGAAAATTTGGTCAAAGAAGAGAAGTCTCAACCATTTATCAAGGAGGATGTGCTTACTGAAATTTACAATGTATGAGCACCGCCTTATTTATATTTCTCGTTTCTCATCCTCAGATCACTTTTTAAATTTTGCATTTTGCAAATTTAATTGGCAGGATGATTTCCCTTGCACGGTGGATCAGTTCTTCAAATTTTTATTGGATGATGGTTCCACATTCATAAATGAGTATCGAAGCGTTCGCAAGGACACGAACCTCACTGTAAGTAACAAATTTGTCTTCTTTTTTTTTATTGTACCTTCGACATTACTATTGTTGTTATTATTGGAGTCAAAATCTGAATCATTATGAATATGAGGGATTGTATTTATATTTATGAGCTTAATATATATCGGTAACTGTTATAATAGATATATATAACCATAGAATATTCAATATTGTTCCAGTTTGAACCCTGAAATTGCATCAATCTTATCATTCTATTAATATTTCTCTAGACGAATCGGTACACTAATGATATTCTCATCGTGTCTCTTCAAATGAAATTAAAATACTCACTGTTTGTGTGGTCATAACCTAGAATTGTGTTGAAAATGGTCCTGGTTTATTTAACATATGTGTATCGTATGTCTTAAGCACAGAGTAGAAACTTACCGATGCTCGTGGCCTGCCTTCCTACTCACTGCTCAGTTTTGTTGCCATTTATTTCATTAATTTGAATTATGCTTATTATCCAAAGTGATTTGTTCTCTGTTTCCTATCCCACCACAGATAGGTCAGTGGCACGCGGCTGATGACTATGATGGACAAGTGAGAGAAATTACATTTAGATCCTTGTGCAGCAGCCCGATGTGTCCTCCAGATACAGCAATGACAGAGTGGCAGCACACAGTTTTGTCTGAAGATAAGAAAAAACTGGTCGGGTTTAAATTTCCGTAATGCTACTGTATCGTAGTTTATTTATTTCTGTTTGCATTGATGTCATTTTTGCTCTGATAATGTGCGTAGGTGTTTGAGACTGTGCAACAGGCGCATGATGTCCCATTCGGATCATACTTTGAGGCGAGTGCCATCAGTTATCGGCTTCATATTTATCTATATATATATATATATATGTATAACAGTGTCTCTTATTTCATATATCTGAGTCTTTTCTGATCTATTCATCGTAAACATGCTTTGTGAAAGCAGATTCATTGTAGATGGTCATTAGAGTCCAACTCCGAGTCTTCGTGCACCATGAATATTAAAGTTGGTACGTGTCTTCCTTCCCGCTCGATGTTTTCCATTAACGCAACTGAACTTGATCTGTACAATGCTTTGACCATTGCGAACTCTAGATTTTAATATTTCATTAAGTGTAAGAAATTCATATAACGGCAAAATTTGAAATTCTAACATCCGGTGAAGGTGCACATTTCAAGAAATGGTGTGTGATGCAGTCCAAGATCAAATCCGGAGCCATCAACGAGGTACCTTTTAATTCCTGTTCTTCGCTCGGATTTCTCTTTATAATTATTTTTTCCTCCATGAAGATTGTCAAAATTCCGAGTTATTGCAGTACAAAAAAGAGGTTGAAATAATGCTAGAGGTAGCTCGATCATACATCCAATCGAAAACCTCTTCTGATGGGATAGAAAACGGCGCCTCCTCTTCCCAAATTCACCTCGAAAATAGATGAAAACCGGGCACCTGTGTTCTTCCAGTTTTGGCTTTTGCTGTTCTATAGAGCGATTGTCCTCCCGGCATCTCCCTCGTTTTGTTCATCGGTACGCCGTTTGATGTAACATTCTGTGCGTATTTTGCTGCAACTCAGTCTTGTGTGTATTTCCTTGTGTCATGTCCCGTAATCTATGTGGAATGACCGTTTGCTTACAATATATATGTATAGGTACACACACACGCACACACAAACATATATATATATATGTATATGTATATGCACATTGTCCAGTTTACACGTACACATCATTCCTTCTTAAAAACACAGATGGAATGTTGAATACAAAAAAATGTTGTGATCAATGTCCTTGTCATGTAATGTCAAAATTTTTGTCTTGTTTTATCACTTATTGAAATGGTTTGTTTGATGCTTTTATATATATACAAATTAAATTTGAAAATGTAGGCTCACCCCCATTTTCTTATATTCTTAAGTTCTTCCTGCCATGTAATCTTTTGTTTGAATATTAAGTAGAATTAATTTTCTTTCTGGACGAGCGCGTATATGGTAGGGTCCACTTTTGGACTCGACCGGACCTGGACCCGATACTCAAATAATTCAATCCAACCTCAAATAAGTGGGTCGGGTCCAGGTCGGATCTCGAATCTACCCAGACCTATTACCGTTCATATTTACTTCAACTTATGTTTGAAGTTGCTTTAATTCGAAATCAATTTTTCTATCATCACACTTGATGACATAATAGACTATATGTTGAAACTCTTTCGCTTGTTTAGCAACTGATCAACCATTTATCATTTTGTAATACATAAATCGGATCACGACAAATATTTTATACCCTGTATTTTCGAACTTATATTATCTTTCTCCAAGCATCCCACACCCCTTTGGAATTCTTAATTTACAATGCATATTATAAAATGACGTATCCTTTTTGAAGTAAGTGACACTCTAATATTTTGAAGCTCAAAAAATTGGCAAACTAAAATGGAAGCATTAGAGCTATGTCGGGAGACTAAGAGAGAAAAAAATGTTGTCGAATATTAATGAAAGACTAATTGGAAAATATTGCCGGAAAGAGACATAAAGAGCCGTGAAGAGAAGAGGAAGAAAGAGCTGTGGAAGAGTGCGTAGAAATAGGTTGTGGAGGTGGCCTTTTATAGATTCACCATCATGTAGAAAATTAAATGCTGACGGTTACGTTGCACTTATCTTCGATAACTGTCTTTATTTAATGTCGATCATAAATTGCCGAATTAATATATGAAATTTAAGATTAAACTATTTCCACCGATATTTAGTAGAAAAAATAATGAAATTTTATTAAAACAACCATAATTAAAGAAAAAAAGATAAGAGCCTATATTCGGTCACCGATTGAATTTTTGTGTATATTTGGTCATCGATTGAAATTTTGAGTTGAAGTATAGTTTAAAATAATTTATTTAATTTTAATTTATAATATAGTAGTATATATAAGATCAAAAAAACAATAAAAAAAAATATTTTCAATTATTTTAATAACTATATTTTAATAAAATATTTACAATACAATTCTACCTTTGTCCAATAATCACATATCTATTTATTTTTTTGCATGATATCCTTACAAATATTGATATATTTGCATATTAAAATATGTCGTTTTTTAAAATTTTTTTCCTATGTATAAATATAATAGCTAATGTTTAAAAATTTATAAGAAAAATAAAAAAAACAAATAACTATTTTCTTACGAGACACAAGTATTTTTATAAAATTTTATATAACATAAATAAATAAAATAAATAAATTTAGTTTTAATTTTATTAAAATATATTATTTGTATAAACATAATTAGATACTCATTAATTTTGATAATATATATTGCCTTATTGGAACTGGGGTACGTTTGTTTTGTATTTTGATTTGAAAAAAAAATATTTAAAACTTAATAGATAATATAAAAATAATAAATATGACCTACATTAATTGTTTGAAAAAAATTGTTGAAAATTTTTACTAAATTATTTCGAGTAAAAAAATAAAATAAAATTATTATACTCCAATTTTTGTATTTATTTATTTATTTATTTATTTTGATTTATTTCTGTTAAATTTGGTTCGTTGACTCGGCAGGCTTTTTGTTCATTGAATTGGTGCATCTTCGCCACTCTCCGCAAGACTGCAACCCTTTTCCATCTTGATCCCCCACTGATAATTGAGATCAAATGGCTTCATTGAAGAAGCTGTGCCTCTCGCTAATTTCGCTATTTCTCCTTGGACTTTGTGGGGCAGAGGACAAACTGAGCACCAAAGAATGTGAAAATTTAGGGTTCACGGGCCTCGCCCTTTGCTCTGATTGCCACACTTTCGCTGAATATGTCAAAGATCAAGGTAATATGCACACTAAATGTCCCTTCTTAATTTTAATTCTTTTGCAAAATCGATAAACTATTTGCGCGTTGCTTTCTGGGTAGATCTAAATTCGTAGTTTCGCCTAAACCATAGTGCGGTGTAGAAGTGAACAAAGCCTAAATTGTTTAAAGCATATATATATATATATATATGTATATTGATTGCGTATGCCAAATGTATTTAATGGTATATGCGCTCCAATGGAAGAATCTGCACTCTCTCCCCAAAATTTTTTGGAGGCATTGAACTATTCTGCACCTCAATTAGGGAAATTGAAGGGTGGGTATGGTGTGAATTTTCTAAATATTTGGTCATAGAGTTAATTTATATTTCTATGCAATTATGTACAATGGTAATGCTAAAATTTAAGTAAATTTTGTTCGAGAGGATGTCTGATATATGATAATGAGATCCTCAAGTATCTTACATTTCTTGTCTTCTAATAATGTTTTATCTTCGGCATGTAACCTGGTATTTTTAATATAATAGAGTACTGGTAAACGATCGTTGTTATTTCAGCCAAAGATGTCAATGTGGTTATGAATATTTTTTCACTCTTTGCTCATGATCAAAAGTTAACGATTTCACAATATAAATGTGAGCTTTGCACTTCTTGTTCACTGCTAATCTCAAGGATAGTGATTGGAGTAAATTGCAGTAGTTTTTCAATGTGCTAAAATTTATACCTTGTTCAATTTATGAAATATTGTTTCCTGCCAAAAGATATCATATCCGCAGCATATTTTTCATTGAAAGCATCACATACAATACTAATTTTCTATTTACAAAAATTCAAATCCATAACAACCTTAAATTCTGATAATTATTGAATTCTATGAAATCTTCTTTAGTACACATTATCACATTTAACATGCTTTTTTTAAATCAATTCATTTTCAATCTATGTTGGAAATATCACATCCAACTACTATTTTCACCATTAACAACTTGAAAATCCAAAAAACTAAACAAAACCAAAACACAAGTAAGCACGCCCATTGTCTTATGTAGTTTATGTATAATATATTTATTCAGATGCGTATGTTAATGTACAGCAAAGGTGGGTGTTATTCACACACATGACATGTGGTTGAAATCGAGGTATTAAAATGACTTTGTACCAGAATAATTACTTGGTGTAATGCAATGGGTTGTATCCATTTACTATAGCCGTACCAAATTTGTTAACAAGTTACACCACATCTACCTCAGTGGGTTGAAGATGGCTTATTGTTGAAATTTGAAAACATTTTTAAGTTTTGACCTATAGTTTATCTGATTAATATTTGTTTTACTTATATTGGGTATGATTGGAAGAACTGTTTCTTTAGCAGATGTAGTCCAAAATCTTTGAACTTTAGTTGTATTCTTATAGATGGTTTAGGTATAGAATTATTATCAAACTATATGTAATAATTCCTTTTATATGTATCATGTCTGGTTTAGGGAATGCCCCTTAGAATTCTCATAATTTTCTTGATTTGTTATTCTTTTTTTTTTTTTTTTTTGTGTGTGGCAAGTCATGAATAGTAATTCATAATTCATCTTGAAACTGTGGTAAAGTAACTACATGTAACTCTCTCTCTCTCCATATATATAAACATATATGTGTGCGTACTTGGTAGTTTCTATTTTTTATTTTTTTATTTTTTGTTGAAGATGTTAGGACATTGTTTTATTCAACTGTCAGTTGTTACTTGTTAGCATTGACATGGTTTCTACTTCAAACTTAATTAAGTTTTCAATTTCTATACTTCCAGAGGCTTATACTTTTCACTTCATAGTAGTTAAGGGACTCAAAATCTTTGTGTATTATTTATACTATAAGGTAATGTTCCTTAAGTGGTAGGGATTAAAAGTGAAAGGTCCAATTGTTATTTGGAATGGCTATTTAATCCCGAGGGAAGGATTGAAATAATTAATCAGTTTTCTTTGTTCTTTTGTAGCAGGTGTGTATCATCATTCTTTTTTATTTTATCAAGCCTAATGCTTGATGCTAAACATTGTTTAGTAGTTTTAACTTTTAAATATGAAGGTGTAAATTAAATTTCTCCTGCAAATAATAATGGTAGAGGTTAGAGAATAGAGCTCAAGTTTGTTTTTGGGCATTGATTATAGGGTTTCGTGGGTTTGATTAACTGTACTTTAAATAGGTATAAGTATAACTGAATAAATATTATGAGTATTGGATTTTTATTTCATGTAAGAGTCTGAAAATGCTACTTGAAAATTTTTCTGGCAGATCATAACCAAGGCACAATTGTGGACCCTTTTCTTTCTCAATAATCTACCACATTGTTACAACTTACAAATTTGTTTGGAACTTCTGTATGCATTGCACTAATGATTTACGACTCATTGACTTCCTATTACCCGCAGAGCTGGTTTCTGAGTGTTTGAAGTGTTGTACTGAAGATTCTGATGCCACAAGCAAGGTAAATCTGGTCAAACAAGTTTCTGTAATCTCAAGTACAGCTGAGACTTGTAGCTCCTACTTTGCGCCCTTCTGTTTTTTTGGATCAAATCCAAATATGCTTTCCATATTCCTATTATGTTGTGATTCTATGTGTTTGGTTTCTTTCCCTGACAAGGAATGACTATAAGTCGCCGTAATGTCCAAACGTATCTCTCAGATCTTCTTAGAGTAGTCCTGATGTTTTGGGATCTTTGATTATAGATGTATTATTGTCTCACGCAATGCCTCCGCTCTCAAAACTCACTCTATAGACAATGAATGTTTCACTACTTACTGCAATATTCTTTGTCAAATTGGTATTTCCTGCCTAAATACTGCTCAATTGTTTCAATGGGTGTCGTGCAGGTTATATATTCTAGTGCAATTCTAGAGGTTTGCATGAGGAAACTTGTGTTTTATCCAGAAATCGTCGGCTTCATTGAGGAAGAAAAAGATCAATTCCCAACTGTTAAGGTTAAATATGCCTATAATTCACCACCAAAGTTGATCATGTTGGATGATGATGGACAAGTGAAGGAAACAATCCGGTGAGAGTACTTTTTTTATTGTGCGGAGGAGCTATTCTTTCTCCATTTTGCTTCCTATTTGCTTTTTGTTAAATTTCCGATGTTATACACCTTCTCAAATATCGTATGCGCTCTAGGAAAGAGTGCTATAGATTTTTAGAAAATAGGGCAGATACCAATCTTGATTTATTACCCTCTAGATCCATTTGAAACCTTTGTCTTTAGCACAATACTTAAAGGATTCTATTTTGGCTACGTAAGCCTCGATAACTGATCTAGTGACCAAGTTATTTGTTGCGCCAACTTTGAGATTGGTCACTCCCTCTTACCAAAACTCCTAATCTAAAGACTTAGCCGTTGAACATGAAACACCAGAGATTTTTTAATTCGATTTTGGCTCTGCAAGACAGAAGAACTTTTCAGTAATTGGACACAGGCTAAAATACTTGAAAAAATTTGCAACTTTTCCCACATATATTTAGATATATAGCTGACGAGCTTAGTTCTGAATTGGTTATTTAGTTTGTGGTGAAACCGGATAGAGGCGATAAACTATTCAGAACTACTTTCTTGCTGGCATAGAAAAGGTTGATGTCCCATCATAGATAATCAGGATATACTTGAAATCTCTGCCAACCTTATCGTTGCTCAGAGAATTTCAGGCTTTTCATATCCAACAAACTGTTTTTTTCTTAAATAACTAGTTTTAACATATTGTGGTGTTCGATCAATGTTTGATTGATTAAATCTGGTTGATACTTGTGCAGAGTTGATAACTGGAAACGAGAGCACATACTGCAGTTTCTGAAGGAGAAAGTCAAACCTTCATCTTCAGACATATGAGTAAGTATATCATTATTTTCTAAATCTACATATTCATGTACTACGAGGAACTCAAGCTGTGGATAGGTGCTATGGCGTTACTTGGTTAGTACAGAAGGTGACGATGAAATGCGACAAAGGTTAAGAATTGTGTTACTCAAACGGCCTTTGTGGTTGAGTAAGCATCATATGAACTCGACCATTTGGTTTTGGTTTTGGACTTGAATTGACAACATACATACGACCATAGTATAGTTCGATCAAGTATAATGCATCCTTGTTATAATGATGTACTTTTCAGTCTTCTTGAATATCACACTTTTGATCGGCCTACATATATGCAAGTAAATTGGAAGTTGTTTAGCACCGGGTTTGTTGTATTTTTGCAAGTTCTAGATATTCAAAGGTTGATTGGGATAAGTTCTTTGTTGTACTGATTCTTGTTCATGTTTAACCTGAACTTGATCATGTTCGAGATTAGATATTTGGAGGTTTCACTGTTTTTTGTTTGTTTATTACGACTTTCTTCCAACAGTAACACTTTTGCTGTCTCGCTTACTATTATTGCTCAAACTTATGGTTTAGTTTTGCTATCAGAAGTTGGATCATACTCGAGAAAGTTGATATAGCTAATACAAACACCCTTCTTGTTTGATGAATGTAGTTTCTACTGATTCGACTGAAGATCCTTGTATTGGAGGATGGGTGCATAATATGTTCCATGTACGATGATGAAGTCTGAGTGATGATCTCTAGTCGAATCAGTGGCAACTATATTTGTCGAACCAGAACTTCTATATAAGCTATGCCAAAGTTCTTGTGTATAGCCCAACTTGTGACAATAACTGCATCTCTCACCATGACTCTCAGGTTTTTGTGAAAGTAAAGCTGAACCATTAGGTGGATAGCAATGGCAGATGGATCAGCTACAGAAGTGAGCACTAAATATATGATGATTGAACCTTTCTTTAGTAGAAATAAACTTATATAATTCCGATAAAAAAAAATATATATTATAACTTATATAATAAAAATAAACAATACTCCCTCCTTTGCCGACAAAGTATACTTTTAGATTTTTGTAGTAGATTAAGAAATAATATATTTTTTTATATTAGGTATAGAGAATTGTATTACTAATATAGCATATATGTTAAATAGTTGATTTTTTATGAGTTATAATTATATATGTTGCATTTATATGCTTGTATATGGTATTTTTTTAATAAATATTTATACAGAATTATACATTAAAAAACAGTGTGTTTGGTACAGTAAATTGAGAGCAAAAATAAAAATTATCTTTTTTATTTTCATTTATGTCATTAGCAAACAAATAGAGAGAAATGAAATTTGTATATCTGAATATATTTTATTTATTTATTTTATTATTAACTTTTATAATTTTTTAAAAATATTTTTTTTCCAATTTTATAAAATTCAAATCAAAATTAAATATTATTATTATTTAAAAATTACTAATTAAATATGACATTTGTTTACAAAATTTTACTTCATGAAATTATCTTTTATTTATTGTTTGTTGGTGATTAATTCATTCTCTTATTTTTTACTTAGTAATATACAGTCTCATCTGAATTGATTCGTCTAATTTGTTGTATTTTTCTTTTTACACAACATGAATTCTCTATTATATCAAATAGAAAAATTAATTCTTATTTTCTCTACAAGTTTTTTTTTTTTATCTATTATCTCATTCTCTGTACTAAAAAGCACCTTAAGTGAACAAACCCAGACCCAATATTTTGGTAAGAATATGCTCTCTCCGCCAAATCAACATTTAATTATTACTTTTCATTCAACACAGACAAATACTACTAACTTTGTTACATTAACTAAATTTTCAAAAATATCCTCAACTACTTTTTCAATAAAATATATATATTTTTTTAATTCCCGTGCCAGGCCCAAATAGGTTCATTTTAATGAACGAATGAAGTAATATAATAGTACATTTTTATAAGAATAGTAATAGTCGGATAATAAAAATAGAAAAAAGAAAAAAGAAAAATAGTGAATGAAACGTACTAAATATAGAGAGAAGAAAGAAAAAGATATTCTTTACGTTTCACTTATCGTGTTCATCTTTCTATTCTATTTATTCCACTTATTTGTTACTTTTTTTTGTTTAGAAAATAATTATACACTTTAATCTATTTTAAATATTTTAATTTATAGTTTTTTTATTTTAATTAGACTTATTTGAATCTTAATCTATAACTATTTTTATTATACGACAATTACTTTCAATAATATATTTTAATTATTTATTAATAATATCTCTCATATATTCACGTACCTACAGTAAATAAGACACCATATCCGGGACCAAAGTGGTACAATTTTAATGGCTTACAAAACAAAATATTAAAACTCTTTAAGGGTGTGTTTGTTTGTAGGTTTTAGTTTTTTGGTTTGGATTTTTGAATAATAAAAAATTGAATTTGAATAGTTGTTTGATGTTATATAAATAGAGATTGATGTGATATTTTGAATGTAAAATAAATTTGTAGTATAATATATATAAAAAAAAGGTACTTGTTTGATATAATATTTTTTTTTAGGAAAAAAAGAATTTGAATAATAAAAAGCTGTAATAAAACCCACAAAAGAATACAAAAAGTTTTATCAACAAATACGTGCTCTTTTTGGCATATTGGAAACTCATAATCCAAAAATTTCTTATAATACGGGAGAAAAATTTAAGAGTAAGTAAAGAAACACATTTATTTCCTCCCTTCGTCCCATAACTAAAGTATCTATTTGCTTTTTGCATGGAGTTTTAGAAATATTATTATTATATTGAGATTTAGTAGGAATAAAATAGAAATTACTACAATAACCTTATTAGTATTGTGTGATATAAAGGTAATAATATTTGTGTAATATATTGTAAGTTGTAAGGGTATTTGTAATTTTAGATATATAGTACAGTTATAAAAAAATAAAATTGATAGTTTATTATGGGACAGACTAAAATGATAAAATAGATAATTTGTTATGAGACGGAAGGAACGAGTATTTATTGTTTATATTAGTACTACCAAAAAACTGAATTTGGATATTGATATAATTCTAAAATAAATTTAAAACACTTTAAAATTAGTATCAGAAAGGCTCTAAGGGCATCCACAACGGGAGACGCTTGTTGAGAAGCGCCTCCCACGTCATCATTTATTAAATAAAAAAAAAATTAAAACACCAATTAACATAAGGAACGGTACATTGCAAGTGTACCGTTTCTTCCAATTTTTGTGGGCCATGGTCCACTTTTTTATTCAATAAATATTAAAAATAATATTTATAATATATACTTTTTTATTTATATTTATAATAATTTATTTTATTTAAAATATTATATTCTAATTTTGTTATATAAAATTTTATTTAATATTTATAATTTGAAATATATTTTTCAAGAAATAAAAAAATTAAATATTTAACTTTAATTATTATGCAAAGTGTGAAATTATTATTTTTATTTATTTTATTTATTTATGCTAAATAATTGTTTTATTTTTATTAAATATTATAAGAATAAAATATGATTGCAAAATATAATTTTATTTTATAAATATATAAAATATTTAATGATGCGGAAAAAATAGAGATATTAAAAGGTTCTTTGATGTGGATATAAAATATGATTAGAGTTCTTTGTGACGTGGAGGAGAGAAAAGCTGATGTGGCGCAGGAAAGAGAATAGAAAAAAACTCTGTATGGGTATTTGGATTGAGCATAGCCTAAGAAGGATAAAAACTTATTATTCAAGTGGGTTTGGAACTAGTATCGGAATAGATGCGAAAGAGGCCAATTTTCTGATAAAGAATGGATGGCTATTTATGAATTAATAAATAAACATAACTACTACTCTTTTCGTCCCATAAAAAGTGTTTTCATGAAAGTTGACACAAAAATTGGGAAATAATATTCCATTCATTTGCACAAAATTTTAGACTGATAGTATTAAGTAATAATTTGAAAATTAAGTGATATGATAGAGAGAATGGTACATTTAATTTTTTTTTTATTTAGATGATGTGAAAGAATAAAATGTGAGATAGAGATTAAGTATAATTAATTATTTCCTATGTTGCAAGGTGTTCGGGACGGAGGAAGTAGTATTCAATTGAAAGTAATATAAAGTAGAATGTAAAAGACCTTTTGAAGACTTCTAAAAAGTAGGTTTGAATAATAATTAAGGAGTAGTTGTGGATAAAAAAATATATATTATTTTTTTTATAAAATATTATATCTAAATTACTATTTAAATTAAAATAATAAAATCATTTAAAAAAAAAAAAAAAACTTCAACCCATTTCTGAATTTAGTCATTTACATAAAAGACAATGAAATTAAACACAATAATAATAATAAAATCAAAATAAGACAAACTATTCGAGGATTCCAAAGTTAAACACGTTGGAGAAATCAATTATTTCTTGAACATGACGAAATGTATCTATGAAATCTTTATATTCTAATACCAAAGATTTATACTCCCTATGTTTAACTACTCGTGAATTTTAGGGCATATTTCCTTACGCCAAGTTTCGGAAAATTTTGGTTTAGTTTTCTTTATTACAATTTGGGTTCAGATTTGGTTTTTATTTGAATTTTAAAATAGATTTGAATTTTTTTATTTTGTTTTTGGGTTTGGAGAATTTTGACATGTATTGATTGATAGGTAATAAATATAATAATATAAATATTTATTAAATTTAATTGATAAAATGTATAGTGATATAATTTGATTATGAGTTTATATTATATCAAATATATATATTTAAATTTTTATTTATTTGTATTTTAAAATACTCCCTCCGTCTCAAAAGATTTGTCTTGTTTTTCTATTTTCGTTCGTCCCAAAACAATTGTCTTGTTTCTTTATTTAGTAGCCGTGGTTCCCACTTTATAATAAAATTATTCATACTTTCCACACTATCCCTAATTATTACTCTAGCGTACTCTTTAAAATCCTTCAAGGCATTTTAATCATTTACATTCTACTTTATACCTACTTTCAATTAAATACTATTATTTCTTAATTCCCGTGTCAACTTCCAATAAGACACTTCTTTTGGGACGGAGGGAGTATATAATGGATCCAAAGTAAAATGTCCCAAACAGCCCCTTAGTATATTAAATGTTTTATAGAAAATTATACAATAGAAAATTGAAAAGATAAATTTGTTCTTAAACATATTTACATTTTAACAGCACTGTAATTTTATGTAAAGTGTAGGAGTAATTTTTATTAAAATAAAAAAAATATTTAAAGTGTTTATTTATTTATTTATTTTTAACTCTTGATTAGTGCTTTATAAATTTTTAAATTGATGGTATTTAGAAAACTAACAATACTATACTTGTATAAAGTAGAAAATATATATCTATAGAGAGAGAAAGAGGAGAGAGAGGGAGGCACACCTACCTACTACACACACAAGCACCTTTAAAAGCACAAGCTCATTCTCATGCACCATCTCCAAATTAGCTTCTCAAGAAACAAGTGCAAGAAAATTTCATCTCCAAAATTTTCCATGGCCAACAAGATTTTCATGTGTGTTCTATCATTTTTCCTTATAGCTACAATGATGTTGGCACAAGCCAAGACTCCACATAGGTTTCCATGTTGTCAAGGAAACGTCGTCGATTGTTGTCCCGAAGGCGTAAGAAAGGTCGGAAGCTTCTCCTTGTTTCGCAAATTGCGCGAGCCTAAGCCATCCGTATCCATCAACAATTACATCCCAAAAGTTCGACGTAATTAGTACTTCGCAATGTGGAAGTGTTGATCAGCTCAAGCGAATATATTACATCGAGCGTATGTGGTTCCATTCGTGCGTGGAATTAATTTATCTTCGTACTTATAGCTTTCTTGTTGCACGAGCTAGCGTATGAATAATACGATAGGCAATTCAATAATAGTCGTCTTAATTTCATCTTTTATGTAATAATTTTTTATCGATGACATTATTTAGTTCCACCGATAAATATGAGATTCAAACTTTACTACAAACTCAAATTTTACTATTTTTTCTTACATTGACAATATCAGTGATTCGATCAAGTCAGGACAGTGTTTATTGGATCGGATCAATATGCTATAAGAGTGGCTCGCATATATTTATACATATCTCGACATATTTATAATACAATATATATTATATTATAAATCAATATATGTTATCTTATAATATGCTGAAATATGTCTAAACATATATTGGTCACTCCTATAATATATGTTGATCCAATTAAATCAGCGGCATTGTTTACTTGATCGAATCAACCCAGAAGGACATAAGCCAATGTTATAAATCTTACCTCTTTAACAAAACAATGTCAACAATCGGAAGCAACGACGACAAGAACACAAGTAACAGTAACTTCAGCACATCATCGAACATTCAATACACCGGAAAGAAAATATCAAAGTACGCAAAGCTGTAAGAAACGCCAATTGTAGGCGCCGGGAACGACATTCAAATTTACACTTGCTGCTTCCCGAGTCACCAGGAAATAATCGCCCTCGCGATAACTCTTTAATCTACTACCTAATAGCAATACGGATTGAAGTACATTCCTCGACAATCTTTTAAAAGGATATTCACTTTTCTTTTTTTTTTTTTTTTGTCTATTTCTTTTTTCTTGGCATTCTTTCGCCAGAGCTCGGCTACAAGAATGATTAGAAGTAATAAACAGCTGCATTCCGTTCCTTTTCAGCAAGGCCAATTACTCTCAGACCTGACGAGTAGAGAATGCCGCCGTAACTTAGTCATGATGTAATATCAAGACATACTTTCGAATGATGTAAGAAAATTTCATAAATTAGTTAAATATATATATATGTTCGATAAACCTGCCTTCTTCTTCGGCATTGCACAATGTACCACGAACGACCCACAACATAAAACGGTAGAAGAAATCCAGCTAGCTGAAGAACAGATATCTGATACTAAACCCAAAAAAAAAAATGAACTCAGAGTCAAATTATTCGATTAAATTCAACAATTTCTGAATGTATTGCGATTTTGAACTTACATGGAAGAAATGCGAAGATTCCTGAAGCATTCCAAAGTCTTTTGTGATGATTAGAGTTTGACGTACAATCAAGATTAGCATTAACTGCACATATATAGAAAGTTCAAAGCTTGAAAAATGATCGTAAAGACAGAAAATCGGGCGTCAAACATAATATAGTTAGCTTACAGCAACGGCTACAGTGCGGAAACAGGTAAGAGTGCCGCTGTTTGCTAGAGCATAGTGCTCGTATTCTGATTGCAGAAACTGTTGTTCGGCTGCAGCAATAGCCAAGAATCGAGGGTCTCGGAGATCAATGTGCGGATTCCAAGATTGCCTGAGGGAAACAGCAAATTAACAAATCTCGACATACACGGCTTATATTTTATATAAGTAATAACAAACAAGAACAAAAGCCCGGAGATAAAAGCACCAAGGCTATTGAAATTATTCGACACCAAAATATAGTCTCTTACATGTTCCAAAACCTTAATTTACGGCATGCAATGACTTGTCCTAATTGTTCGAAAACCATATATATCACTCTATTTGTCCAAAATGCGTGATACGTTTACCATCTTAGTTTGTCTACAAAAAGTATGCTTGTATCATATTTAGTTAAAATGTTAAATCATTCTTTAAATTATTACTCATTATTTTCTACCTATTTAGATGACTCCGTATATTTCTTACACGCAACTTACTTTACTCCAAAATTTATATTACTAACCCTATAAAAGTTTTAAATTTACCCTTACAAAAAAAAACACGAAAGTAACATTAACATATTATTCATTTCTTTTAATATATGTATCAAAAATATTTAGTTTGTCCACCAAAAATACTCATATCATATTTAGTTAAAAAGTTAAATCATACTCTAAATTTTTATTCATTATTTTCCATCTATTTAGACATGACTACATATATTTTTTACATTCAATCTTCTTTAATTAAAAATTTACATTACTAACCCATAAAAATTTCCATTTTACCCCTACAAAAAAAAATACGAAAGCAACATTTACATATTATTTCTTTTAATATTTGTATCCAAAATTTTGGACACCCTTAAAAGTGTATAAACTAAACACCAAGTACCTAATATCGATTGTCATAACATCAGCATTGCTTTTTGGCGGCGGGATTGTATAATTTGGCGAAAAGACCTGAAAGCGCGAAAGTTTGCATTTATCACAGTGAAAAAAATATAAATAAAAATTAGCCGATTTACGGACAAATCAAAGGAGAAGATTCTAACCTGATTGCAAATCTCACAGGTGATATCTCCCTTTTTGTTGCACCATTTCTGTATACACTTCCGATGAGCAAACTGAATTCGAACAAAGGGAGAATCTAAAATTAGGTATTTTTTGACAATGCTTCATCCAATACTAACAGCAAGAAATAATTCATATTTACACTACATTTCCAGAGGAAAATCGAAATTAGTTTATGCAAAAATTAAAAATAAATTTCGAAAGAACCATCAAGATTATAGTATCTAATTGCATCTTCAATTACTCTATAATAATTTATATATACAAAATTTCAAAAGTATTCACTACTTGTTACTGTGCATTGATAGAACTTGTTAACTAAATGCATGACCAAATTGGATATCAACAAGTATTACACAAATTTTAGTTTATTTATATATTTTTAATTATTAATAGCAATGAGACAATTGACTAATTAACCAAACATTGGTAAAATAAAAAATAAAAACCTGCAATGGATTGAAATGAATATATATTGATCACTAATTTGATGCCAAAATAAACAAGAATCATTCCAATAAATGCATAACAGCACCAATACTTAAATCAAATCAATTTTTAAATTTTTATTTTATTTGAAGTAACATACAAATTAATGGACAAAAAAGGATACCATCAGCACTATTTTCACATACCAAAAGTCCAACACACCCAAAGAACAATCTTTTCAAGATTCTATAACTTTCATTGCAAAAATGGAAGCCAAATAAGGTAAAAACAAATTTCTATTTCAGTAATTAAAAAAAACCAAAAAGTGATGAACTTTGAAAAAGAGGGCAAAGAGAAAACTTCAAATTCAAAACCAAAATCCAAAAATTGAAAATAGAAACAACCAAATTGTTCATCCTTCCCTCAAACCCTAAAAGAAATCAACAAAATCAAACAGAAAAATGCACAAAAAAAATTGAAAAAAATAAAAATGAGACCTTGAGGGTTCCATTGCAAGCACAGGGAGCTTCCATGTCTTTCTGGTCATCTTCTTCCTGGCAAATTCTGCACTCTCTCAAACAGACAGCAGAAGAAGAAGAAGAGCAGTCTTCACCAGAAAAGACCTTAGCTTCTTTATTGTCGCCCTGTTTTTCACCAACGACGCTGACATTGACAGTACTTGCTGCTTCCGGCGGCGGATGCGGCGGCGATTCTTGGAAGCAAGCAGCGGAGGAGGATAGAATCCTGTCGACACAGACCATGAATTCATTCACCATTGTTGTTATAATTTAGTTTTTGAAAAAATCGGAGAGAAGAGAAGAACATCGATGAACTGTAGGTTTGGATAGAGAGAGAGAGAGAGAGAGAGAGAGTGGGGGGTGGGGTTTTGGTATGATTTATAAATGGAAAAAGTGGGGTGGGTGGGGGTGGCGGAATTTACGAATGGACATGCGTGGAGGGGGGAATGACAAGAATGCCCCTGTTCTGTTAGGTGTTGACAGGACAACAAATATCTATCAGCTTTATTTCATCGCCATTGGTAAATAAATGAACAAGAAGAAGTGAATCGATACAACAGCCAATTTTTATTTTTATTTTTATTTTTATTTTTATTTTTATTTGTTTATTTATTTATTATTATTATTATTTATTTTTTTTATTTTTCTTTTAAGTTCTCCACTGAACTGAATGAATAAATAGGTTTGGTGGGTTGGTGGTATGGTTTATTATTTACACCTAATTTGTTTTCTTTCCTATTTTTCTCTTGCAACTTTTTTTTTTTTTTTTTTTCGAAAAATAGAAAATAAAAATCTGTAAATTATTTGAAATGGGATTTCCATGAATTGACCAGTTTTTGTGTGTGTCTGAATCTAAATACAGTTCCGTTGAGATTGGTACAAAGTTGTGTTGTTTCTTCCTAAATTAATCATTTCAAAAGATTATACTTATTTTATTATGGATTAATATTTCACTATTAACTATTATATCAAAATATAATATAAATTAAAAAAAAATTATAAAAATATTTTTATTAGTGTCTTATAATACTAATAGAATAATATTTGTAAAAAAAAAATTATACAAATATAAAAATATTTCTAATATTAAGTACAATGATACAAAATATAAATGTGACTCGTAGAGGCGCATGGAGAAAGTAATTAACTATATTTTATCGCATCACAGCACTCAAATAAAAAATAAATATATATTAGTATTTTTTTTGTCTAATTACGTAATTTAATTTTCAATTTATTATAATTAATAATATCGATCTAAATTCTCGTGCCGAAAATCACATATTTTGGAAATAGTATATCATATTTCAAATTTATACTTAACCTCATTAAATATTTAGAAAGTCAATTATGATACTCTCACCGTCCCTTAACAATCTATCTAATTTTTTCATTTTCATTGTCTCATAAAAAAATATCAATTTTCTTTTTTTTAACTGTACTATCTATCTAACATTACAAATACTCTTCCAATTTATAATATATTACACAAATATCATTACTTTTATATCATACAACACTAATAAGGACAATTTAGTCTTTTTATATTTACCTCTATTATATTCTAATATAATACTAATATTTCTAAAATTTCGTTCAAAAAATAAATAAATATATTGATATGGGACAGAGGGAGAGGGAGTATATGAAGTACCCATATTAATTAAGCAGCTAGCTTAGCTAGCCATTGTATATGGTCAATTAATTTATTTATTTCCACTTGTAAGTATGTATTCAAATTTTAAATAAAATATTAAATTCTTTTAAAATAATTGAATACCAGTAACACTTCAAATTTTAAAGAGGGCATTAAATATTTTTTAATAGTAACAAAGTTAGTAAATCATAAAAACTTTCTTTAATGGAATAAAATAATCGATGGCAGACACTGTCGCCAATAGACTTTTGGAGTTTTGAAAGAAAAAAAAAAATAAATTGTGGTACTTAATCTAATTTTTGTGAAATAAAAAATATATTTGACGTAATATTTTTTTAAAAAATTAAATAATGTTAAAAATCCAAAAATAGTGTAAACCTAACTATCACAATTCAATAATTATATTTTACAATTTATGTCCATTTTAAAACAATAATTTCAGTATCATAAATAATCATATCAATATAAAATTATTTTTATATTTTATAATTATTATACAAATATTATTATTTTTGCTTTTAAATTAAACCACATTCATATGGAACAACAATTTTTTTTTATTAATATAATATCAATATTTTTAAATTTTATGCTTAAAAATAATAATAAACTCCATTAATCGAAATTTTTTTAGTGTGAATTTTAGGAGGCAAATGCAAGAAGAATGTTATGATAATGATCAATGGCATTACAGTCAATTCAATTAAATTAAACGTGCAAATTGTCAAGACAGGCAGCACCAAGTGTGTTTCTATAAAAATTATCATTGGATATATTCCGTCATCGCATTATTTATTTTTTCATTTTAATCTGCTCCATAATAAAATATTCATTTTTTTTTAGTAATTATACTATTTATTTAATATTACAAATATATTTACTATTTACAATATATTATATAAATATTATTATCTTTATATCATATAATATTAATATGATTAATTTAATTTTTTTTATCTTTATTTCTACTTTATCTCAAGATAATATTAATATTTCTAACTTCGTGAAAAAACAAATGGATATATAGATATGAAACGAAGAAAGTATAATTGATGTATCAATATTAATTAAATATTTATTTAATACTCCCTTCGTCCACACATAAAGTATACAATTACTTTTGGTGCGGTGTTTAAGAGATAATAGTATTTTAATTATAATAGATAGTTAAAAATAGTGTAATAATATTTTTGCCCTTGTTTTTTTATGTAAAAATAATGATGTTATGTAAAATAAGAATATTTATGAAAAAAAAAATGAGATATTTAATAAAATATTTACTTTATAATTAAATATTTTAAAATAAAAATATGTATATTTTCTATCTAACCTGTGGGAGTCTATTATTATTATTATTATTATTATTATAGATTATTTTATAGTAGTAGGAGGAGAGAGAAAGGGGATAAGATATACAGGTGGTGGTGATTGTGATCTGATTTTATATACACTCATACAGATAGATACATATATATTTTATTATTATATATTATATGTTGTGTGGGGAAGACTTTCAAATATGATATGATTATTATAAAGAGGTATATATCTTACTCATGATTAGGGATGTGGGCAGGTTCGGGACTGGTTCTGCATGCCCCGAGACCCGCCCTGCTAAAAAACATTAGGTTCCGAGATCCGTTCCGCCCGGCTTTCATCCGGCCTCAGAATTCGCCCCGCCCTGAACCCTCTAGGTTCAGGACTAATTCGGCAAACCCGTTTTTTAAAAAAATATATAATAATAAATATTTTTTTAACAATCGAATACTAAAATAAATAACATTAAAAGTATAAAAAAAATTCTAAAAACAATCAAATATTGATCCATAAAAATAAGATAAATAAATAAATAATATATTTTTATTATATAAATATACATATATTAGGTATAATAATTTTAAAAAATTATTTAGAGCAGGCGACTAATTGAATTTTATATTTAAAATTATTTAAATAAATAAATAATATATTTTTATTATATAAATGCACATGTATATTAGTTATAATAATTTTAATAAATATCCGAGTTCGGGTCTGGGTCCGAGTTGAGGCGAATTTTTAGTAAAACTCGTAACTCGCCCCGAACCCGGCCGAGTTTAATATTTTAAATTTACAACCCGCCCCGAAACATATTATTTAGACTCGAACCCGCCCCATTAAGAGCGGGTCCGAGGCTAACCCGCCCCATTTGACATCCCGGTCATGATTCACAAACAACTTGCCTAACCATTTGTATCATGTTTCAATTTGTGACCCAATATCAAAATTGGATTCAATAAAATCTTATTTTAACTCATATTTGTGAGTAAATTACATCATTATATATTGTTATTTAGTATAAATACACAATACTATATATTTTATATATTGTGTGAAATCTTTTATACTAAATTAAAATAAGTACAAAATAGCCTTTTTCGTGTCCAAATTAATGTTTAATGGTAAATATGAACTTATGCAAATTTTATAAATAATAATAATAATAATAAAGTAGCTTAAATAGTCTTATTTAAACCAATAAATAAATAAATAATTGACATATGCTTTATTTTATACTTTATTTTGTAAACATAACAAATTGTTCTTTTTTAAAAAAAAAAATTATTAAATGAATAGTTGATAAACTATTCTTTATTTTATTTTTTTAAAAAATATTTTAAAGATATTTTTATTATTTTATTAGTATAAAATTTGTATGCATGTTTTTATAATCAAACATCAATGTTGGGCGAATATGACATTTTGTACATATTTTTATTTAATACAAGAAAATTTTTAATAATAAATAAAATATGAAGTATTTTGTATATTTTTACTCAAATACAAAAGTTATTATACTACATTTGAATATCTTTCATTTACTTTTTGAATGCTGATTTTTAATATTAATTATTATATCCACACATAATACAAAATATAATTTTTTTTTATATTTATTTATGATATCATATATATAATTAAAATAATTTAAAAATACATGTATTTTAAATATTAACCAACTGTGTATTTTTTTCCAAAATCTACTTATAAAAGTTAATTATGTGAACTCTATACTTTATATATAGGCATTTATATATATTTCACAAAATATTTTATTAAATATTATTTTAATATTAATTTTAAACTAAACCCCCAACTTAAAAAAAAACAAAAAAAAAACAACAACAACAACGCACGTGTGTAGTTTTCATTTAAAACCAAAATGATCACAATTATTTTTAATTAAAATATTTATTTTTCTCACATAATATTACATTTAAATAATATTTAAATTCAAAAGTTAAACCAAAATCAAACAAATATTTTGTTAAAAATTTTGATAGTTGGAAGCCTAACTGACAACTTCTTCGACATAAATAAAATAAATTCATCAACTCCGTAATTTGGTCCTACCAGATCCACCCAATCCTTTTTTCCTAAACTCTAAACCCAAATAACATACCCAAGCCCATTATTGACAGGGAGATCCCGGTGAGTGTTTTCCGACGAGTTTCGAATCTTTTACTAGTGCTGATTGCGGTGGGGGGTGAGGGTTGGAGTGAGGAACCGTCCACCAACATTGATACATGGTTACAATAGGCCGATTCACCATGGACTGAGCCGAAAACCATTGTAATTTTTCCGGAAAAATAAGTTCGAAGAAGATCAGTTCTAATCGAAGCTGGTCGGTGCTGTTCAAAAGTCGTACGGAGTATCAATTTTTTCAATTTAGTCTGTCCCATAACAAAGTATTCATTTTCTTTTTCAGTAACTATACTATTTATCTAACATTACAAATATCCTTACAACTTACAATATATTACACAAATGTCATTACCTTTATATGACACGTACTAATAAAGTTATTTTAGTCATTTCTATTTTATTTCTACCATATCTCAATATAATATTAATATTTCTAAAATTACATGTAAAAAACAAATAGATATTTCTTTATGAGACTGAGAGAGTACAATAAATTGGAAAAATTCGAAAATAAATTCACAATACATCTCAATAAAAATTCTAGAATCAAGTATTTATTTGCTTTTCGTACAATATATTATAGGTAATAATACAATAGAAATTTTAACAAACTCATTTGCCTGTATAAAAATATTTTTGATTATATATGACTGAGATTGAAGGATTATTAGATATTACTTTTTATAGATAATAAATTTTTACATAATATAAATAATTATAAAAATATATTTATATATGTAATTAATGTAAATTATAATGAAACTCTAACTAATATAGGATTTGTTTGTTTAGTTTTTAAATTTCAAGCATTTTTTTTTTATAAGAAATAAAAATTGTGTCATAATATATATATAAAAAAAATTTTAGTCAAAAATTATCATATATATTATCATTATTTTCGAACATACTATTTTTAATATTCACAAAATATTTATAAAATAATAAAAAAATAAATACTCTAATAATATTCTTACAAGTTTAATGAATAACAACAAAAACATTTAAATTTTTTTATAAACATTAATTAAAATAAAACAAATTTTTATTGTTAATTACTGAAATTATAAAACTGTTAATTTGAATATTATTTTTAATTAGTTTTAAAAACATTTTATATAAAAAATAATAACAAAAATTGAAAGCAAACAAATTATTTAAATATATAGCGGGGCTGAAAAAAAGAGGGAAGTAAAAATGAAATGCAGCCCAAATACAAATGCTAAATTTAGAACAACTGATTTTAGACTTTTAGGAGTAGATAGATCTGCATTTACACTTGCGCTCATTTGACACTATTTATTTTTTTAAAAATATTACATTAAATTTTTTTTTTTTTTTTCCACAAAATATCAAATTAAATGTAACTTTTTTAATTTTTCCAATTTCGAAAATTCCAAAACTCTCCAAAAAGGTGTGATCTTATATATCAAACATGACTTAATATTTTTTTACCATGAAATATAGAGCCAAGATAAGCAAACCATAGAGGGAGTGTATCAAATCAGCTCAGTGTTTGCTAAAATGTCCGAAAGTTGCACAAATTTAAAATTTGGTAGAGATCTAACACAGAGTAAGAGGACATAGGAAAGGTTTACTTTACCTGTAGTGTCCTGCAAAGCTCATCTCTCTTAAACGTCGAATCGTTACCATGAAATGCTCCCGACTCAAAGTTTTCTCGACAAAATAGGAAAACCTGTGGAACTCACTGCTAGAAAACAATTACAATGGACGAAAACATTTATTCAAATAAATCACCGCTGCTCCGCTCACACATAGATATAGGCTACTCTGTATCTTCTCAACTATGGAAAGAGCTTGGACAATAAGAACTCGGTATATACAATTTTTCGACCCACAAAGATGAAAGGTAAATTCAAGACATTCTTATATAGAATTATAATATAATATGTTTAAGAAGCTCAAGCAATATGAAGACGTATGAAGCAGTTCGATCATTTTTTCTCCTTAAGCTAAAGAAACTAAAACAACCAGGACCACGTGTAAGATTTTTCAAGAAATTCCAAACAAATTGGAATGCAAAACAGTCGATGAACTTAAAATCAGATTAAGAAGACAACATTCAGTATGGAAAGTGCGATCCCGAAACAACAAATAAAACAAAGTTACAGAAATCTCAATCCATTTTTTATCGAGAAAAGTCATCCTAAGCTTCCGTCTTCCTTTTACAGTCACTATGGCCTACCTGAACAGTTTTTCGCTCAGTTGTCAAATAAATAACCATATTTATTGCCGCTAAACAACATATACAACACTAGCTAAATACTTCCCAAATCATCCTCACTTCAAAATATAAACAGATGCTTGAATCTGGCTTCTGTTTTACACACACACACACACATATATATATATTTAAGTGTCCTACATAAAATGTACCCAAAGTAGGACAAACTAGCGATGGCATATACCATTTCAATCAACCACACGCAGCAACAATGATAAAGAATATCAACACGAAAATATCAGAACGGCTAATACACTACATCTAAATAGCTGCAACAAAACTGGTAGGTCAAGCCTTATAATTAGCAATATTTGTCTCTATATTCAGAATTCATAATGCTTAGTTTCCTAAGGATACAGTAACAAAATCAAATCGACACTAATGCACCTACCAACATCATGCATAAAATCAACATTGTCCTATTATGCTTCTCACTCGATCTTATGATTTAGTCTAAACTTGGATGATGATTTATAAATTTAATTTCCACCGCAAACAACTCAATGCTTAAACCACACACACACTCACACACACACACACACACACATATATATTCTAATGTAAACTACTGATTGTTCGTAGAAGGTATTACTAAGAAGAAGCAGAAGCAAATTCGAAGTCCTGAGACCAGGTATTCACCATTCATATCTAGTTTTTATTATTTATTATACACCCAACCCAACCCAACCCAACCCAACCCAGCCCATTTCATTTTCATTATCTTGTAGCATTCTTTTCTTAGTTCTTGAACAGGGCAGAGCTTTCAAGTGACATCAGATAATCCTGCTTTTCATTTACATTTACAACACAAAAAAATATATAAAGAAAATAAATATCATATCCATCTCCAACTAGCAGCACATCCAACAACACAAAACTACTATTAACCTCAACAGCAGCAGCATCACAAACACAAACCATTTCAAGAACTCTGATGCATAGCGAAACCATAAACATTTCAATTCATGAATTGTTTGTTTATTCGTAAAACTTGAACTAAGCATAAGACCACCAGATCACCTCCTACTACTCTTCTAAACATCCCTCCCTCAATCAAAACCAAGCATCCATGTAATAAGTACTCTCGGAAAAATCAAGAACAATGCTACAAGAAAACAAAACTCACTTAAGCAACAAAACAACACATAGAAAACGAAAGCATACCATACTAAAATCTCTCCTCCTCCTTCTCTCAGTGATCGTGCCTCGCCTGAAAATCCTTCATGAAACTCACTAGCTTCTCCACTCCGGCCAGCGGCATGGCATTGTAAATCGAAGCCCTCATTCCGCCGACGGATCGGTGTCCCTTCAGCTGCACCATTTTCTCCTTAGCTGCCTCCTTGATGAACTCTGCCTCCAGTTCTGGCTTCGACAGGGTAAAAGGGACATTCATCAGAGACCTCACGGTCTTCTCCACAGGGCACCTGTAGAACCCTTTGCTCCCATCAATGGCGTCGTAAAGAATCCCGGCCTTCTTCTCGTTCTTCTTCTCCACCTCCGCCAGACCGCCCTGCGCGAGCAGGTCGTCGAAGACCAACCCGCACATGTAAATGCCGAAGCATGGGGGCGTGTTGTACAGGGAACTGTTGTCCACATGGATCTTGTAGTCCAGATACACCGGCGTGGTTGGCTGCGGGTTGCCGACCAGATCGGATCGGACGATCACGATTGTGACGCCGGAGGGGCCGACGTTTTTCTGTGCGCCGGCGTAGATCAGACCGAATTTAGTGACGTCGACGGGTTTGGAGCAGAAGTTGGACGACATGTCGGCGACGAGGATGGCGTCTCCGGCGGGGGTGGGGTAATCCTTGAATTCGACGCCGTGGATTGTTTCGTTGGCGCAGATGTGGAGATACTTGGCGTTGGGGGTGTGATCTAGGGTTTCGAATTTGGGGATTTTGGTGTACTTGTCGGATTTGCCGCTCCAGATGGTTTTAGGGTTGCAGAACTTGGAAGCTTCTTTGAAGGCCTTGTCGCCCCAGGATCCGGTGACGATGTAATCGACGGCGTCGTCGGGGGTACAGAGATTGAGAGGGACGGCGGCGAATTGGGTGGTGGCGCCGCCCTGGAGGAAGAGGACAGAGTAATCCGACGGGATGTTGAGGAGCGATCGGAGATCCGATTCGGCTTTTTGGATGATGGACATGAACTCCTTCCCGCGGTGGCTCATCTCCATGACGGACATGCCGGAGCCGTTCCAGTTGTAGAGCTCCGATTGGGCTTTGAGAAGGACGTTCTCGGGGAGCGTGGCGGGGCCGGCGGCGAAGTTGAACACGCGATCTGAAGAGGCATCGGCGGAGGAGGTGGAGGACGAAGTATGGAGAGTGGTGGATGAGCACGTGATGGAGACTGGCTTTCCGGCAGCGGAGTTCGACGGGAAGGAGACGTTCGTGAAAAACGGGTTCGTTGGAGAGGTCCGGCTGACGGAAATGGTTTGTTTCAGGTGGCGGCCGGGGTTGCAGGTAGCGGCGGACATGGCAGCGGCGACCATTTTGGCCCTAGTGAAGCAAAGTGTGGGAGGACGACGGCGGCGACGCGGCGGCGAAACGTGGTTTGCACTTTGCAGTGAGAGCAGGTGAATATTTGTATTGAGAATTCCTTGCCTATGAATCTATTTATTCTCGCGTGTGTCTGTGTTTTTTTTTTTTAATACTGTACATTAAATTTTTTTAATATAATTATATAATTTAATTATATTTTAAAAATTAAATTATTTAATTATTTTAATGTATAATTATTTTAATTAATATATTTTTATTAATTATTTTTTAAAAATACACCCCTAAATTATTTGTATTTTATTATTTATTTAAAAATTTTATAAATTATTATTTAATAATTTTTGTTTATAATTAAAAAATTATGAGTGTGTTTCCTTAGGGACATTCTGAGAAATTTGAATTTGAGTTTTTTTTTTTATTTGAATTTCGAAGTGAATTTAAATTTATGTGTTTATTTTGTATTTAAGTTTGAGTTTGAGTTTGATTTTTATTTGAATTTTGAAGTGAGTTTAAATCTATATATTTATTTTGTGTTTAGATTTAGGTTGAGTTTGGATAGTTTTGTTATGTATTAATTAAATTGTCATTTTATCTATTTTACAATATATTTTATAGATGTCATTACCTTTTATCATACTCCTTCCGTCCCAAAGATGATGCAATATTTTTTTTTTTTCAAAACTCACTGCAATATTTCCAAATTTAGAAATAATTAATAATATTCATATGCATGTATTAATATACACTTCACTCTATCCCACCGCATCACTCAAATAAAAGAAATAAATAATGATTTTTTTTTTCCAATCACATCACTTAATATACTAAGAATTATCTCAAATTATCATATTTAATACTCCCCATCTAAATTCTCAAAACACAAATGTTGCACGGTGTTTGGGACGGAGGGAGTACAATACTAATAAATTCTACTTTATCTTAATATAATACTATTATTTCTTCTCCGTATAAAAAACAGATATAATATAGAGATAGACGGAGACGGAGAGAATATAATAATAATATAAATATATATTAATTATAAATTTATATTATAACTATGTATATATTTTTAAATTTTTATTTATTTGTATTATAAAAATTGTTATTATCTACAAATATAACATATATATATTTTATTAAATTATAATAATTATAATTTTTTTTTATATTTTATAATTAAAAAAAAAAAATGGGATAGAGAAACACACCCATAGTATCAAATTAAAAAGAAATTTTTTAAAATGAAACGCAAATAAGCACGTTTTTAACACTTTTTCTTCCTTCTGGTTTTGTTCCCTACCGACGCCGCCATCGGCGAACGCTGTTCAGTTCAAAATCGGAAACAAGCACAGTTGGTAAAGGAGCTCGAATCGAATCGGAACAGTTAAAAAACTCGGTTCGACGGTTCCGGATTGAACCGGACCATCCGGTTCGAACCGGGTACTCAGGTTTACTTCTCCCCAACCCAATCTGAGAGTTGCAGGGAGCACTCGACGAAGGCGACTGACGATGGAGAAGATCATGCTCGGCGACTTGGACGCGAGGATAAGACGCGCTTGACCGCCATGATCGACAAGCTCCAAAATCGCGACAGGTATGTGCGGTTTTTCCTAATGATTCGGGGAATGAAAGGTCACTCCAATTACAGATGCGAATTTGGGATCTTTGAGTGTACTTGTAGAAATTACATTCACTGGAAATTGGAAGACAATTTGAAACTTGAAATTAATTGAATGTGAAGCAGGAGAAACCTGTCTCTGTATTTACTGTTTTGTAAAGTCAAATGCTTGTAAACTTAGGGATCTCTAAGATATGTTTCGTTGGATTGATTCTACATGACTTTTTTGTTTGAAATTTTAGATGATGTGAAAATCTTTAATCTAAATAGGATGAATTGATTGCATTTCTTTGAGTTTATGAATCATAATCCAAACATATATCTGTTTCGCATTCCTTCTATTGATTTACTTAGATAGGTTGAATATAATCGCTTGTGTACTACCAATAGTTAGAAAAAAATCAGTCTGAAATTAATCTGAGCTGAGTGCTAATAATTTCTGTTCTCCTTTTTTTTTTTTTGGATTGGCATAGTTGTAATTGAGCTGTCTAAAAATTGTTACTTTACTGAAATTGATCGATTCTTAAGCAGGACTTGGCCTTGATTTGAATTTATATGCTTGGAATGCCATAAGTTCCACTTCGAATGGGTGTTGAAATTTGATCAGATCTATACTTCATTTGTTTAATGTGGACTAAGGTTGGGAAGTAGAGTGAAATCCCCTGTTATTTTCCGTTGTTTAACTTCAGTAAATTGATTGTATGAAAAATGCTTGCATCTATTCCTGCAAGAATTGATCATTTTTTAAGCAATTGTTTTTTCTTCATTGGTTACCTTTGTTCTCTCGATCTACTATTTCCTACGGATGCGATTGGAAGATATTTCATTTAGATTTCGGATTGTTGATAATATTTTTTCCCTAAAATATATCATATTAATACCTATTTTTAATTTGTAATATTAAATCCAAAAATCATTTACATTCAAAGTATCATGTCTAAAATATTTCAATTCAATGTGTATTGACGAATTGTCTCACTGAAAAGTGAAAGCAATACGTTTGATTATGTTGGGTGAAAATTACAGCATGGAGTGGATAGTGTTAATTGCGTCGATCATTGTGATATGGATAGCATCTCTTTGGAAGATTCTCGGGGGAGCTTCCTCGGCATCTAAAGGAGCATTCCTAAATGACGGTAATTTGGAGGTCTCTTTGTGAAGCTATTTGGATGTGGATGATGTTTTCTAATATTGTTGGTTTAATTTTGGATGGCAGGCGGTGGGAGGAAGAATGTGCTGTTGGTTATTGCCCATCCAGATGATGAGTCTATGTAAGCTTTTTGAATTTTTGTTTCGGTTTGGGAATATGTTTGATGTGACGTAGATAGATTTTTGATGTGACATTTTGGTATAAAATAAATAAGTATTGAATGTGATATTTTTTTAAAAGAAAATTGTTGGTAGCAGCTGCGGGTTTGTATGTAATAAAACGAAAAAATCAAGTTTGAAAACATAAGCAAGCTGGTGTTCTTAATATGCACGCGAATGAATAAATGACATGCTGCTGTTTAATATGTTGTAAATTTGTTAAACCGTGTTATATATATGTACATATTATATCATATGTTGAACCGACCAGGGAAACTCTCAAACTACTATTACATGATGAAGGCAATGATGTAAACTTGTTGAATTTTATTCGTAAAATAATATTTGTTCAATGTAAGAAATATACTGAACGTATCAACTTACTAAGTATGCTTAACTTGTCGTTCATCAAGGGATCCAAATAGTTTCAAAGTGTTTGATGTTTGGCTTAATTGCATTTATGTATTTCAAGGACAACAGTTGGGAGCATTTTGATGTAAGTCTGTTTGAAGATATATTCAACAACTAGCTGATGATACTAGCGTTACATCGGAATAAAATTCAGATTATTCATCGGGTAACAATTAATTGAAACTCCATAATGTTATTTGAATGGATATAAAATTGTTGAAATAAGCTAAATTAAGGATATTGTAGCTCTACAGCTAGTGTGATAAGTCTGATGATGTCTGACCGTGATTTGGGAACTTTAAGTGTTGGATTTTAGTACTTAGTTCATTATTTCAGTGAGTTCCCCTTGTAATAATCTGTTTAGCTACAAACTCCCTAAATGCTGAGGAGTTTTATTCCTCTTTGAATTCAAATAAGCAACATGTCAGCAGTCTTTGCAGTCTAACAATATGATTATAACAACCCTTTTTTAGGATCGACTAACATTCTTGCAATTCTGTATTGGAACTTAACTAGTCCCACTACATAAAAGAAACATCTTTTTATGCAAGCCATCTATTAAAGCTATTTTTAGATGAAGCATATATTTAGATTTTAAAATATCATCTTCTACATATTTGTGTATTGCCTGATATTGGCCGAATAAGATTGAACCATAAACATATTTTATTTTTGCATCTACAGGTTCTTTGCTCCTGCTATTGGTTATCTGATCTCACGAGGTCATAATCTGCATGTACTTTGCATTTCAACTGGTAATGTTTGCTCATGCCGTTCTAGTGACATTATTTTTTTTTGTATTTAGCTCCAAAATTGCCTGAGGTCATTATTCTACTTTACCTAAATATTTATTAAATGAATGTGTGATTTTATGTATAATTGATTAATCAAGTGCAATCTAAATTTTACTATCAAAGTTTAATTTAAGTACATGTAATTTCTGATTCATTTTCCAAAGATTAAGTAAATGTGTGCATAGGAGAAGATAATCACATACAAATTCTTGGAGTAGATTTTGTACTCAATTAATTTGAAGATTAAAAGTTGTCAGTTTCCTTAAAAATGGAAAAAAGATGCAACTGAGTGATCATGAAAGCTTGTAATGGCCTCTTACCTGTGAAAGACAAAATTCAAGGCCTTTTCATCTTAATGGCCTTTTCCTTGGATTTGTTTCGTGATATAGGAAAATAGAAACATCAACTTGCTTTGCTTTCCAGATTTGTTCTGCTAATCTATGTCGAAAGGTATGTGTATTTTTTTTTTTTTCTAGGAATGTGCTTAGGTTGTGCCTTAATATTCTTTGATGTGTAAATATACTTATCTACAGTGGCGGAGATGTGGTGTTGCTTCAAGATTACACAAAGTTTCAAAATGCTTTCCTCTCTAATTAAGTCGAAATTCTGAGTTTATGTTGCTAGTGTAGGCAATGCAGATGGAATGGGAGATGTCAGGAAAGAAGAGCTTTATCTTGCATCTGCAGTCCTCAAGGTAAAGCATTTCAAGCTTCAATTATTTTTGAGCTTCAAATCATATGTATTCTCTGTTATATAGTTAATTTCTCTTTCAGTTTTTGACTTTATGTCAAATGCTTTCTCCAACTATTACGAATTTCATATATATTCTCTTTTTAATTAAAATTCTTTCGATTTCAATTTATGCAGATTCCGACCCAGCAAGTGAAGGTTCTGGATCATCCAGATTTACAGGTTCCTTCTACTTAATCAACCTATATATTTCCATTGCATATATAATAGTTAAAAAATATTAAAATGCTGCTGAATTATAGAAATTCGTTGAACTACCTACAAAATGAAATAAATAGGTAATTTGTTTTATCATAACCTAATATGCTAAATTTTGTTGTGAAACTTTTCCTAACCTATATATTGAACAAAAATTGCTGAACTATAGTGTATTTTCTTATATTTTGCATTTTGAAATATGTACTCTTTCCATCCAGCAAAAATGTGCTTGTTTGGCTCTGTGTGGAGATTAAAAACTATACAGTGTTTTAATGTAAAAATAAAACTAATGTAAGAATATTTTGAAAAATTAATTAGGGGATGTGTTTAATTAATAATGTATGTGTGATAAATTGAAGGTGACAACATTGTTATTTATATGTTTAGAGTAGGTAAAATCTAGTGGATAGAAAAAAATAATTGCTATTTATGATATAAGTACAAATTTCACAGACAAACTTAAAAAGAAAGTACAAATTTAGCAGATGGATAGAGTATATGTTAAACCAAATACAAAATATGCTAATTATATATATATATATATAATAAGTTAAATGCTTGTATATTGAAAGGCAAATGTCGAGCTCTTATAACTATTGAGAGTTGTGATGTAAAACATTACATGCTAATATGTTGAATCACATACAAAATTTGTTGAACTATGTAGAATATATGCTAAACGGCAATATTTAGCTGTGCTTAATAATGCAAACCACCCTAATATCCGGATCGAATGGTGCCAATATTTTGTGGGTTTGTAATTAGGATGGTTTTGGGAAAGTGTGGAACCGGAAATTATTGGCTGACATTATTGACAAGGAAACACAAGCCCTTCGTATAGACTCGGTAAGATTTGTTTGATTCCTTAATGGTTTTTGTAGCTTCATCCTTCTGTAGACATTCGGGAATGCTCTGTACTGATGCAGCCCCTGAATGCAGCATGCAGTCGACACCTACATTGTAAATTATCAACCTGGTGCTCCTTAATTAATTTCTCATTCTGTGTTCTCTAGATCATTACTTTTGACGAATATGGTGTCTCAGGACATTGCAATCACCGGGATGTACATCAAGGAGTGAGGTAAGTTTTAGCAGAGATGGGATGGTTTGGAACTTGGATTTTGGATTTTGAATAGTAAAATTTTAAATTGAAATAGTTGTTTAATGGTGTTTGATTTGATGTTTTGAATGTAAATTGTTTTTTTTAGTGTAATAATAATAATAATAATAATAATAATAATAATAATAATAATAGTTGTCTGATATGATGTTTTTTAGGTGGAAAAAATGAATAAATAGTAAAGTCCGGTTGAAAAACCCACAAAATAATAGAGAGCCCTAAAGCTTTTGAAATTTCTTGTTTGCGATACAGGGAGCTATTGCATGAAGTTCCTGATAGGCATCTGGAAGCATGGGCACTTGTAAGATACCTTCACTTTTCTTGTGTTTAATTAACTTTAGATGTTTATGTCCAAAACTTGTAAATTCCCTACTTCAATATGATTTCACATTCCACCGCGTTTAGATCTAGAGATCACATACATACTTACGGCAGATATTATTATTTTTCAGGCAAGCAACAACATATTACGCAAGTACATTGGACCTGTTGACATATGGTTATCGACACTTTTTGCAAAGAGACAGGGATCACACTACCTGCCTAATTCAGATCCCCGTAAAACCTATGCTGCTATGGCTCAGCATTCTAGCCAATGGGTTTGGTCCGTCTACTTAGTCCTTCACTTTCAGACAGCTGCAATTTATAATTGTCTTGGGAAGGAGGATTACTTTGAAAAGATATATATATATATATATTGTTACCGGCATAAGATACTCTTCTACCATTGCTGACAAGTATTCTCTCGCTCCCTCTTGCAGGTATCGGAAACTATTTGTGACATTTTCAAGCTACTCCTATGTGAACACACTTAAGAAAATCAAGTAAGTACATCTGATTCGTAACTTAAGGAATAATTTTTTTCGATGAATTAGGAAAAAGTGCAGAACACAGGATATATATCATTTGTATGAATTAGTGCAAAAGGCATATATGATTCTGAGGATAATAGCTCGAGTATACCAGTATAGGGAGGATCAATTTTAGAAGAATACAATAAAATAGTTATTTTATTCGAAGAAACTCTTGCACTGATCTCGTATATCGTTTGTCTGAAACCAATAGTCCATTGATTTATTCCTGCTTATACATTGCAGTTAGTTACATAAACATGGCATTCTGGTGATAGAATCATTGTCTCGGTAGGAAGATCAATGTTGTTATAGGTAAATCTCCTGGACAACTTTCAATTTGGTCTCCATGCTTATGCTTTTAAATATTATAAAGATTGAGCTCTCATTATAAAATTATTGGATTTTTCAGAAATTTCAGTATTAATATATATATATATATATATATATATAATATTTTGTCTACAGATGTGGTTTGATTTATTGACTTAATTTATGCCTATTTTTTATTTATATCTCTAGCCAAACTTATATTTGTTTTCTATTTAATTATATTTATCAAAATTTATATTTATATCATAAATATATATTTTTTAAATCAACTTAAATATTATTTCCATATATAATAAGTTAAATATTGTCACTATTAATAAATCATATCTATATATATATATAAGATCAATTTAGTACGTTTTTATTGAAAAATTTATATTAATAATTTTTTATTGAAAAATATTTAAAATTAATCATTTTTTTTATAATTAAAAATTAGGTCTAGAAAGATAATTCACACTAGGCGAACTATGTCTAACATGTGGATCTGGAGGTATCTAGGGTTTAAACCTATGATTTAACCCACAACCAAGTCATCCTTACATGACAAAATTAATCAATTTTAATCTTATGATAATCGACGCATATTGAACGTGAGAGTGTGCTTGAATGGGTATTTGATGACTTAGAAAATTGACTAAGCAATCTAGAGACTGTAAAATTTAGTTTCTTTCCTTATGTTCAAACTAATACAATTGTGTTTAAGCGTCAACTACCATAGATCAAAAGTGATTAATTTTGTTTAAATGATATAAAGATTATTAAAAATTCAATGATATCAAACTTGATTATTGTAGTATATATTAAGACAACAAAATTTCTATTTAACTATTTGGGTTTTTTTTTTTTTTTCCACGCAATTTTTTAATATTAATATGTAATACAATAGAAAAAAAGAAAAGAAAAAACAATCTCACTCCTATTAGTTGTGTAATGTAGTTAAATAGTGATGATTATATTTTTATAATATACTCCTCCGTCCACTTAGAAAGTTGATATTTGCTTGCATATTGATCTTTAAATATTAATTATCATATCAAAACGTAGTACAAATCAAAAGAAAATGACAAAAATACATTTATTAGTGTCTTATAATACAAATATAATGACATTTGTATAAAAAACTATACAAATATAAGTATATTTTTAATGTTAAATATAATGACGTAAATGGTAAATGTAAACTTATTAAATGGACGGAGGGAGTATTATAAGTTGTAAATTTTTTTTTCTTTTTAATAGTATATTGGTATTACAATTCCTAAATAAATACATTGGTTTTTAACTGTTTTATTATACGTAAGTAATATTTATAGCAAAGCTTATATAAAAATCTCAAATCCAAACAAATACTTTGAAAAATCTAACAAACCCTTAAAAATGAAAATTATAAAAGAACTATATCTCTCTCTCTCTTTTATATACCTAATTATCAAAGTAGATATCTGTCTTTAATTTTGTGGAGCTCAGCAACAACTTGTGTCATCTGCATACGGTCTTTGGGATTTTCCTTCGAACAGACAACTCCAATTCTTAGTACAGAAACCAAACAATTCTTCACTTCATCTCCTCCTGTCCGAAAAACACCATCCACAATTTCATCTATGGAGTTTGGCAATGCCAATGCAGCAGCCACATAGTTATGAAGATTCGAATGATCCTTGAATTCGTCGACGTCTGTCGGCCTCCGGTTCGTGAACATCTCAAGAACAAGAATTCCGTAGCTGTATACATCTCCTTCCGTACAAACCTTATTACCTACGCTGTATTCTGAGCGAAAATATGATATTTTAAATGAAAAATAACTTTATACCATCCCCATGATATTTAGCTCTTAAAAAAAAAAAGCGAAATTGCTTATAACTCTCTTATGGTTTCGAAATTTAGCGTAAAATCTTTATGTATTTTAAGAATACCTTTTTGTACTTTCAAAAACGTTGCATGAAACTTCACCACAATAAAAAGAAAAGGCAGTACAAAAGCACTAACTAACTATATTCTCTTGAAACACTATTTAACATATAATAATAATAATAATAATAATAAGGTAAAACAGTGAAGAAACAAAAGCGTTAGTTATATTATTTAAAACACTGCAATTAGAACTATAGAGTACAAACTATAATCCATAAAGTGCTATATAGTAATAAGAAAAAAAAACACTAACTGTATTCCCTTAAAACGCACTATTTTCATGCAACGTATTTTAAAATATAAAAGGGCGCTACACAATTTTTAAAGTAAATGAGAAATGCACGCTGAATTTCAAAACTATGAGAGAGTTATGGACAATTTTGCCTAAAAAAAAAAAAGTTAAATTACATCATCTTTATCTATATTTTATTATAAATCGTAAAATAATCTCTTTGTGTTATATTAAAATATACACAAAAATTTATTTTAATTCAGATACTAAGATTATTTGTAAATAGGCACCAATTATACAAGTGTTACGCAAAAAAATCAGATGAAATGTTTTAAATACTATTTCTTAAATAAAATAAATATAAAAAAAAATTAATTCACAATTCATTTCACAGTTTATAAATATTAAATTATGACTATTTTCATTTTACAAACTGTGAAACGGAAAAATTAATCACAATTTTTATTTATTTATTTTGTTTAAATAAATGATATCTAAGATATTTTACTTTATTTATTTTCATAACATTTGCATAATTAAGTTCGTCAAGTTTTAGTGTTTGGATGAAAAGGATATTTTGCAAAAAGTTTAATATAAGACAAGATAATCTCTTGAAATAAATAAAACACAAAGTATTATTTTTATAATAAAACACAGGGGAGGTGGGTATCATAAAGTTAAAAAAAAAAAAGAAAAAAACTCAAAATTGTATAGTAAAAAGAATATAAATAAAAAAATAAAGAAAAAAAACTCGAGATTGTATAGTAAAAAAAAATATAAATAAAGAAATAAAGAGAGATAAGCGCTACCCGGAGGAACATAGCCGATCGTACCCTCGACCCCAATCGAGCTATCGCCTTCGTACGAAGGCGATACGCTCGACACAATCTTTGCTAGTCCAAAATCCGCGACACAAGCCGTCATGTCGCGGTCCAAAAGAATATTGCTCGGCTTAAGATCGCCGTGAACAATAGTCGAATCGGTGGCGCAATGAAGGTATTCGAGGCCTTGAGCTATGTCGATAGCAATATCGAGCCTTTGCCCGATGTCGAGGCTATGTAACTCTCCCTCGCGATATCGATGCAACCACTCTTCCAAGCTCCCGTTTTCCTTGAATTCGTACACTAGCGATTTGAAGTCGTCGCCTTTGAAATCTAAGCCTTCGCAAACGCTCAATATCTTCGACACATTTCTATGTCTCACTTGTCTTAGTGCGTTACATTCTTTCAAAAAACTCTTCGAGGCGCCGTGGACGGAAAGATTCAACACTTTCACGGCTATTAATGTATGATCATCGTCGAGAACTCCTTTGTAAACCGTCCCGAATCTCCCGGCGCCTACTAAATTACTTTCCGAAAATCCATCCGTCGCCCTTTCGAGATCGCCGTAAGATAGCCTAATAAACGGGGCCTTCCGGGGCGACGAAAGCGCGACATCTTCGTTCTTGTTTCTTTTCTTGTAAAGAAATATCGACAAAAAAATGAGTAACACCGCGACTATTGGAATCAAAATTTTCATCAATAGAGACAGTAAGTTTTTCTTCGAAGAACTCGGTTGAGCGCAACGAGGAAGGTTTAAGTCGGGAATTCCTCCGCACAAATTCTCGTTTCCTTCGAGCGAAACCGCGGTTCGATTCGCGAATACTCCGATCATCGGCACCTCGCCGTCGAACCTATTGAAAGAAAGATTCAAACTTTGGAGTTGTAGCTCCGACAAGGAACTTGGGATCGATCCCGAAAGATTGTTTCGGGAAAGATCCAAGTACCGTAAGCCGTTCAAATCGCCTAACCGTTGCGGGATTTCTCCCTCGAATCGATTTTCTCGCAACTGAAGCCATTCCAAGCTGATGCATTCGGAAATCGAGCTCGGAATAGCTCCCGACAATCGATTATTCGAAACGTTCAACGCCGAAAGATGCCTCAACGAATGAACCTCCGAAGGAAGCGAACCGTTCAATTCGTTGAACGAAAGATCCAACAGAATCGAAATCGACGAAAGCTTCAAAACCTCCCCCGGAATCGACCCGGTGAAATTATTACCCGAGAGGTCTAACGACAAAAGCCTCATGCATCGGCCAAGACTCGCCGGTATTCTTCCCGAAAGTCGATTCGATTGCAAGTAAACATAGTTCAAAGAATCCATATCCCCGATCGAATCCGGGACCTCGCCGTTGAATCTATTTGCGCCCAAATTAAGCATTTGCAGCTTCGAAAGCTCGCCGATGCTCGTCGGTATCGAACCCTCGAGACGATTCCCATATAACGACAGAAACGTAAGACCAACAAGATTACCGATGTCCGAAGGCAGAGTCCCCTGAATTCGAGTCAGGGGTAAGTTTATCGCCCAAAGTGAACTCGAAAAATTTACGATCGCCTCCGGCAAAACGCCGGAGACGGGATTTTCAGCCATGTCGAGAATTTGAAGCAATGTACAATTCACAAAGGATGTAATAAAATGTACATCATCTCGGATCGAATTAGACGCCGCGAGAAATTGCGTTAGGTTCGAAAGCCTCCCGAGTGTCGCCGGAATCGGACCGGCGATAAAGTTCATCGGAAAATCTAATCTTCTAAGTGATGAAGCATTAGCCATTGATGTTGGAAAAGGTCCAGTTAATTGGTTAAATCCTATTGTAAGAACTCGTAGGTTAGGAAGTGTTAGCCCCATTGTCGACGGTAATGATCCCTCCAACTGATTATTACTAAGACTAAGATCCACCATTGAAGATATGTTGAACAAACCAGAAGGAATCTTTCCAGACAAATAGTTGTTAGGAAATGTGATGAATTTCATGTTCTTAAGATTTTGTAAGGATTCTGGAATCTGTCCGATCAAATTGCATCGAGCTAAGTGGAGCTGTGTAAGATGAGTTAGGTTTCCTAAGAAATTGGGAATCGTTCCAGAAAGGTTGTTTTTTCCTAACCCTAGTTGTTGGATTTTATGGAGGTAAGAATACTCGAAAGGGATGTTTCCATGGAGATGATTTTCGATCAAATTAAGGTAGATGAGATTAGGGCATTGGGAGAGATTTGTTGGGATTAAACCAGAGAAAGAATTGGAACTGAGTTCGACGAATTCGAGCATCATTAAACGGCCGAGGTCGTCGGGGATTCGGCCATGGAAGGAGTTGTTGGAGAGGTCTAAGGATCGGAGGAAGGAGATGTTGGCTATGGAAGGAGATAGGGTTCCGATGAGACCTCGATTTTTTAAGGTTATGGCAAGAACTCGACCGGGGGGCGTGCGGCTGCACGTGATGCCTTTCCAGGTGCAGTAGTGGGTGTGGCTGGTCCATGAAATTAGGGTTTGGGATGGGTCGTGGGTGATGGAGTTGTTGAATTCGAGCAGTGACTGGTAATCTGTGCCATTATTGCTTGGGGAAGACGAAGAAGACGATGAAGAAGATGATGCAGTAGTAGTGAGTATGGAAATTATTAGTGTGGAAAAATGAGTGATTAGGGCCATGAAATTAATTATTAAAATTTGGTGGGATGGAAATGGAAATGGAAATGGGCGTAGGATGTAATTTATTACATTATAGGAGAAGAGAAGAAAGATATTACGTTACGTTTTCTTTTTGGGAGTCACTATAGGGTGGAAGTCAGTCAACTAAGACCACAATCGACGCGCAAAAAAAGTCTTACAAAGTAATGTCTATCAATTTAAATAAATACTTCATCCGTGTCACTAAGGGTGTGTTTGTTCGGGTTTTGGATTTTAAGTTGAGATTTAAATAGTAAAAATTTTGAATTTGAATAATTATATGATGTGGTATAAATAGATGTTGATGTGATTTTTTGAATGTAAAATTGATTTTTTATTATAATATAAAAAAAAATATGCGTTTGATTTGATATTTTTGGAAGAAAAAAATGGGATGAACAGTATATTTAAAATCCAATTCCCCAAACAATCACAAAAGAATAGAACAAAAACGAAGAACAAAATACACTCATGTGGCTCCGTCGATACTACAACTATTTTTCACCTTGAATATCTTAGTCACACGGGCAGCGATTACAATGTTGAATAACACTCTGTGTGCTAATATACATTATACAGTATTACTACAGATAATACATTGTATATGTTAATACTACCTTCGTCCGATTCTAAAGTTTTATTTACCTTTTTGTATTGATCTTTTAATATTTATTATTATATCAAAACATAGTACAAATTAAAAAAAAAATTGTAAAAATACTTCTATTGATATCTTATAATACTAATAGAATGACATTTGTACAAAAATTATACAAATATAAAGATATTTTTAATATTAAGTATAACGACGCAAAAATAAATGTGACCCTTACAAGCGGAGGAAGAAAATATAATATAAATACAGTATATGAACTAACAACATATACTATAATCTCATACAATACATATAACAATTGATTTTAATACATAACATATTTTTATACAATACACTTATAATTATAAACAAATAATAAATATGTATTATATATAATAAAAATATGAACTGTTTATATATATACTAGAACACGCTCTTGCGCGGTATACCGCGCGACTATTCTATAATGTAATGTAGTGAAACATTATTTATTTGAAATATAAACTGTAAAACAAAAATGTAATCGAATTATTTGCGCTCAGGTCGGTGGGTCAGGTCGTTTGGTTTGGTCGGTTGGTCTGGTCGGTTGGTTAGCGCTCGGATAGGCAGGTCGGAAGGTCCTCGGTCGGTTGGTCTGGTCGGTTGGTCCTCGGTCGGATGGTTAGCGGTCGGACAGACAGGTCTGATGGTCACCAGATCGGACAGACAGGTCTGATGGTCTGCGGTCGGATAGGCAAGTCAGCTGGTCCGCAGGTGAATAGACAGGTTGCTTGGTGGGTGCGGCCAAGGAGTCTTTTGGTCTAGCGATTGGTCTCTGGATTGGTCGGTTGGGCTATTTGAGTTCTGGAATTGGTGGAGGCGTTTGGCGAGGCGGTTGATGTAACCGACCAGACGACGTTTCAAAATGTTTCGTCTTGGGCGGTTGACGGCGACGGTTCCAAAACGTCTTTTCAAGGCAGTACAAAGGTAGGGTAAGAGCTAAATTGTCATTTTCGAAATGAGGGGCATGATAGACTTTTCAAGTGACAAATCCATACAATCTCGTGTATAACAACATAAAAGTTTTAATACCCAAATCAACTAATACATAAGGTCTTGTTACGTACAAAAATAATAATAATAATAATAATAATAATAATGGTAGCAGTGTCTTGAAGGAAGGTAGGACCCGAAGTCGGGTAGAAAAGTAGAAAAATTTGCGCTCAGGTCGGTTGGTCAGGTCGGGAGGTCCTCAGGTCGGGAGGTCCTCAAGATGGAAAGTCATCAGGAAGGAAAGTCCTCAGGTCGGTTAGTCAGGTCGGTTGGTTAGCGGGTCGGAAAGTCTGTAGGTCTGATGGTCAGTAGGTCGGACAGACAGGTCTGATGGTCAGCAGGTCGGACAGACAAGTCGGAAGGTCTGCGGTCGGGTAGTCAGGTCGGTTGGTTAGCGGGTCGGATGGTCCATAGGTCGGAAAGTCTGCAGGTCTGATGGTCAGCAGGTCGGACAGACAGGTCGGATGGTCAGCAGGTCGGACAGACAGGTTTGATGGTCAGCAGGTCGGACAGACATGTGTGATGGTCAGCAGGTCGGACACACAGGTGTGATGGTCAGCAGGTCGGACAAACAAGTCTGATGGTCTGCGGTCGGATAAAGTAGGTCGGCTGGTCTAGCAATTGGTCTCTTGAATGGTCGGTCGGGCCAGTTGAGTTCTGGAACTGGTGGAAGCGTTTGGCGAGACGGTGCAAGACACGTGTCAATAAAGGAGGAATTAGTGGGCAGTTGATGTAACCGACCAGACGACGTTTCAAAGCGTTTCGTCTTGGGCGGTTGACGGCGGTTGCTGGCGACGGTTCCAAAACGTCTTTTCAAGTAATATTTAAGGATTTAGATTTTTTATTTTCAAGCATCTTCAATCAACTTCAACAAAGCAAAGTCAGATTTGGGGATCACCACTTTAAATTTTCAGCATTTTAATTTTCCAATCAATTTCCTTTTATGTACCGTACAGTGTTTAGAGATTCCTAATCTCAGACGCTAAAAAATCAAATTTAAGGTGTTACGTACAAAAATAATAATAATAATAAAAATAATGGTAGCAGGGTCTTGAACGAAGGTAGGACCCGAAGTTGGGCAGAAAAGTAGAAAAATTTGCGCTCAGGTCGGTTGGTCAGGTCGGGAAGTCCTCATGTCGGGAGGTCCTCAAGACGGAAAGTGGTCAGGTCGGAAAGTCCTCAGGTCGGGACGTCCTCAGGTCGGGAGTTCCTCAAGACGGAAAGTGGTCAGGTCGGGAAGTCCTCAGGTCGGGACGTCCTCAGGTCGGGAGTTCCTCAAGACGGAAAGTGGTCAGGTCGGGAAGTCCTCAGGTCGGGAGGTCCTCAAGACGGAAAGTGGTCAGGTCGGAAAGTCCTTAGGTCGGGAAGTCCTCAGGTCGGGAGGTCGTCAAGACGAAAAGTGGTCAGGTCGGGAAGTCCTTAGGTCGGGAAGTCTGTAGGTCTGATGGTCAGCAGGTCGGACAGACGGATGGTCAGCAGGTCGGACAGACAGGTCTGATGGTCAGCAGGTCGGATAAAGTAGGTCGGCTGGTCTAGCAATTGGTCTCTGGAATGGTCGGTCGGGCAAGTTGAGTTTGGGAACTGGTGGAAGCGTTTGGCGAGACGGTGCAAGGCACGTGTCAATAAATGAGGAATTAGAGATTCCTAATCTCAGGCGCTAATTAATCAAATTTAAGGATATTTTCCATATCTTTGAATTTTACTTCTTGTCTGTTGAAAAAATACATCAACACTTTATTTTCAGATTTTACTTTTTATTGTTGAAAAATTGCATCTCTTTATGAGTTTTGAAATGTCAAAAATAGCAAGGATATTTCAACTTTGATAATTGTTACGCACAAATAATAATAATAATAATAATAATAAGGATAGCAGGATCTTAAAGGAAGATAGACACGAAGTCGGGTGGAAAAGGAAAAAAAATTGCGCTCAGGTCGGTTGGTCCTCGTTCGGATGGTTAGGTGCGTTGGTTAGCAGTCAGATAGGCAGGTCGGAAGATCCTCGGTCGGTTGGTCTGGTCGGTTGGTCCTCGGTCGGATGATCAGGTCGGTTGGTTAGCGATCGGATTGGCAGGTCGGAAGGTCCTCGGTCGGTTGGTATGGTCGGTTGGTCATCGGTCGGATAGTTAGCGGTTGGACAGACAGGTCTGATGGTCAGCAGGTCGGACAGACAGGTCTGATGGTCTGCGGTCGGATAAAGTAGGTCGGCTGGTCTGCGGTCGGATAAGCAAGTCAGCTGGTCCGCAGACGGATAGACAGGTCGCTTGGTTGGTGCGGCCAAGAAGTCTTTTGGTGTAGCGATTGGTCTCTGGATTGGTCGGTTGGGCTATTTGAGTTCTGGAACTGGTGGAGGCCTTTGGCGAGGCGGTTGATGTAACCGACCAGACGATGTTTCAAAACGTTTCGTCTTGGGCGGTTGACGGTGGTTGCTGGCGACGGTTCCAAAACGTCTTTTCAAGCCAGTACAAAGGTAGATTAAGGGCTAAATTGTCATTTTCGAAATGAGGGGCTGGATAGACTTTTCAAGTGGCAGATCCGTACAATCTCGTCTTTTCAAGCCAGTACAAAGATAGGTTAAGGACTAAATTGTCATTTTCAAAATGAGGGGCAGGATAGACTTTTCAAGTGGCAAATCCGTACAAACTCGTGTTTATAAGATATAATATATATCACAGGAGCTTAACAATCATTTCCTTTAGTCAATGTATGTATTTTTTCTCTAGTAGCCATTGAAAAGCCTCTATTCTCAATAGAGGCTGTCTTTAGGCACCTTTGTAAATGCTTTAAAATTTTGTAAGAAAAATTGTGCAGTCCAAAATCATTCTTTTATCTAATGTCTATAACTAATTTATAAATTGAATAACAAGATTATTTAAAATCGACGCTCGAATCTTTAATCCGGTTTTTTGTTCACTTCCTAGGTTAGAAATTTAATATCTTTGAAATTTAAATTATATCGCTTATATTATCTTAGTGAATTGCTAATTTATCTCCCAATATTTGAAATTGTGATAAAATAGGAATTAAACTTCACAATCCATGTGGATCGGCCTTGACACCACTTGCTACGCGGCAATTGTGATGTTGTAGCATTTTTATTAGAAGCACCGAGGCTACCACGGAGGGAGTACTTCCTCCGTCCCATAACTAAGTATCTATTTGCTTTTTGCACGTAGTTTTATAAATATTAGTATTATATTGGAATGTAGTAGGAATACAGTAGAAATGACTAAAATAACCTTATTGGTGTGGTGTGGTATAAATGTAATGACATTTGTGTAATATATTGTAAGTTGTAAGGGAATTTGTAATGTTAGGTAAACAGTACAGTTACTAAAAAAATAGATACTTTGTTATGAGACGGATTAAAATAGAAAAATAAATACTTTATTATAGG